CCTTGTTCTCTGTCCATATACATGTATTGCAAAATGTGGGCATATCTTACATGGCAACCGTTTGTTCTAAAACAATATGTTGAAATTTGATTTGAAATGTGAAATTACAATATATATTGATTTCCAACGTTTCGGTCTTTATTCACAGACCTTCATCAGTACCGTATGTCATCAGTATCGCTTGTAATATCGCTATTGAAAGATATAAGTTGGGATGATATAGGATCAACGTTCCACTTTTCTACAACGACCAGACTAATGACAACTGGTATACGAAATGTTGTATGCTAGGAGGTGGCTCGGTGAGTAAGATCTTTTCTCACTAACATGACAGGTTCCGTATTCGATCCCTGTGTTGACCAAGAAAGTTCATCGGGAATTTCCAGCGTGGTTCCACTTGTCATCGGGGGGCCTGGCAAGGGGCAACGTATAGTCGTTCGAAAGGTACGAAAAACCGAGGTCCCTCGTACACATTAGCGTGCACGTAAAATAACCCTTAGACAGTCCGAATTCGATATAAGAGTAGGCCGCAGTGTCGCAAAATTTCCTTCATAGCACACTGCATGGCGTATGTCAGTCCTCTATAGTCCAGTGGGAGCAGAACAGTGGGGCGTTAAACCCCATTTCATTTCATTTCATTTCTGTATGCTAGATTCTTGCTCGGACAGTGGCATTGTGGGCTACTCATATTTCGATTGTCAATGGTGTATACAGGACGACTAGCGCTCATCTTTCTCCGCCCCGAACCACTGCCAATGGGAAACTAGTCTGATAGGATCTATATCGACCAACATCGGGATCGAACCCGAGACATTTTGATAACTAAGTCACGTCATACTCACCGAGCGACAAAAAACATAAAATGTACTCCGTTAGGTCGGCCAAGCCCGAACAAAGATGCACCGAGAAAGAGTCTCCGGGTCCCTACTATAAAAAATCAATATTGATAAGTAGTTTGAGCGCCCGCTTTAATCTCGATTTTATGACGTTTTTGAAGAATTGGTACTCAGGATACACTCGAGAAAGCAAGCACCATTTACAGTCAACTTTATTTTATACAAAACCAACATTCATACAAAAATAGGAAATTCTAAAATTACTCCAACTCCGCACATATCCAATTAGTTTGGAAGCCATTCCCTGGTTTATGTGGCGTCTGAATTACCCTCTTAAAGTTGCAGTTCTTTTACATTGCACAGTCAAAATGTGAGAGAGAAATGGGGTTTAACGTCCACTCGACACAAACTAGGTCATTTCGGGACTAACATATGGTTTAATTTTATTTCAATAATTCGCTTGCGCGTAGGGGTCTTTAGCAGTGGGAGGAAACCGGAGGACCCGGAGAAAACCCACGAGGTTGGACAGGCGACCCTACACCTTGTCACGTACAACCGGGGATTCGAAACCACGCCAGTCGACTCAATGACAGACTTTATGATACAGCGTGCGCACGCTAACCATTCAGCCATCCAACCCCCCAGTCAAAACGTAATGTTTTGTGATCGTCAATATAATGTACGTGTGACATAATATGAACAATTATAGAATCAATTGTAGATTAACTAACAGGCAAACACACTTGCCCATAACTTTATTTCACACATTTTAAAAACAAAGGCCAGGTAGACGTATATTTATTGATGTAAAATTCAGCGTTCCCGTTTAATATAACTGTGTTATGCAGCAGACTAAAGCTTGTATTTAGAAGTACTGATAAGTTGTTAGTATTTAAATATGTGTGCAATGTGTTGTAGAAATGAATATACTAACACGGTGTCTGGATTCGATAATAGTGAAATAGCGCATCAAATATCTATGGATTGTATAGATTTGTTCGCGAAAAGTAATGTATATTTTACTGTTCGATTGACACATGGACAAGAAGAGTATCGATATATTTATGATATGAGAAAAAGTGCACTAACAGGTAATCGGATAACATCATTAGGCATTATTGCGTGAAAAATATATCGTAAACGACCGCCAGGGCAGTGACATTTCGTTGTATTTCAATAAACTACCATCTTTATTAGCCCAGTCGGAGCAGAACAGTAGGGCGTCAAACCCCATTTCTTTTTCATTCTCAAGCCAAGATAATTTGTTGTAGTGGTATAGGAATATATCGTAGAACAGGCTTTCCGGCACACCTGATACTTCTCGCCATTGCAGACCTGATGAATCACGTTAGTAATTCGTAATTCTTCTCCCTGTTAGTCCGAAGGCTGATGGGGGGGGGGGGGAGGATCGCCACACGAGCTGTGAATTTATAGACCATTTTTTTTTTGTAGATTCCGAATCTGGGTGGTGATCAGGCGTTTCGGGGGGGGGGGGCGTTTTCAAGATATGGGGGGGGGGGGGGGGGTCCAATGTCTACAATAAGGGGAAAATGTGATAATGTTGACATAAATGTGATCATGTTATAATATTAATAAAACATAAATCTCTAAGACTGCCCATCTCTAAATAAGTGTTTATGATGCTGTTGGTCAGCAACCGAGAAGATATTTATCCCGCTGATATTATGAACTTTGATCTTGAATCTTCTGATGAAGACTAAGATTAAACTAATATCTAAAATGTCTCTGAGTTAATGTGTGTTTTATGCACATTTCCAGATCTCTTGAAAAGTACCATTATAATTAATATATTGAATGACGAAATTGGTACTGAACAATAAAAGCAATCTGATTAAAATACAGATGTATATTTCGTTTCGTTTTTTTTATACTTTCGATGCCCCCCCCCCTCTTCCATACACGCACACCTGCTACCCCCACCCAACCTCCCGACAAATCAAAACAGTTGTCCAGGGGCATCATATACAAATCTATGTTTTATTAATATATAACGTGATCATCATTTATGTCAACATAATGACATTTTCTCCCGATTGTAGACATTGGACCCCCCCCCCCCCCCCCACCACCACATATCTCGAAAACGCCCCCTCAAACGCCTGATCACCACACAGATTCAGAATCTACGCAAAAAAAAACTGGTCTAGAAAAAGTGGGTCTCATAAATTCACAGCTTGGGCGGCGATCCCCCTCCCCCTTCAGCCACCGGACTATATAGTTCAATTTCAATTCTGTCGATGTTCCACCGATCTGAACCATGACAGGGTTTCTTCTGGATATAACTGAAATAAATAGGAACACGAAGCTTAAATTTTGTCTGGATATAACTGAAACATAGGGCACAATACCAGAATCACGTCTATTTCTAAAATCATTGCATAAAGAAAGTAGTAAAATATATTTACCTTTCTGTCTTTGATAAAGCATTGTGAAGAAATTGTACAATTGCACACCAATGTACTTACTCCAAGCGAGTCAATTCACGGTTAGGTATTATAAAGTTTGAGCATAGAAGCTGCTATATATAGTCATTAACATTTAATTAGAATGATACCTATACCAAGCAGCCAGGTGGTATTTATAATTAATTCAGTAGTTATTTGTCTTCATTTCTTTGACCTTTTTTTAACAATGAATTATTACTGATACCTTTTGCTTTAAAGATCTACTTAGTCTCCGTGGCATTTGAGAGGGGGTGGGTGGAGTGGGGTATTTTTAGAGAACATGACCTCTTCTTATTTCATTTATATTACATACAAATTCTAGAAGATTATTTTAAGACATTTTTTTCTATTCGTGGTAAGCTTACCGTAGTTTGTCATTCAGTATGGCACCAAACGAATATTTGACACGGTGACCACAGCATCCAAGATGTTTCTGCAGGGAACTATAATAAAATGTCTACAGAATCGACCTTAATTAGTGCATCACTAAATTCTATAGTAACTGAACCTAAACTATAATATGAATAAGAGACAGATCTCCAAATTATGAAATCTGTAGTATAGAACATTTTTCTTACATTATTCTGTAGGAAACTACAGTAGTTTGTTAAATTGTTTTAAGTACAGTAGGCGTATACAGTAATGCTACATCTAAATACAGAATATGAATGCTGATTTATTTCTAGAGTTTTCTATAGAATATCATGGAAAACAACAGGATAACACAACAGATTCAAGGGTTGAAGGATACAAGTTGTTCCTCTAGAAAACTATATTTACCACCAACTATTTACTACTAACACTTAATTTGTTTCCCCTGAGCCCTATAGTTTCTTATTCTGTGGTGTAGAATTCTATTGGAAAATTACACTTGGAAAAATACCCCACAACTACAGAACCCATGCGTCAATTATTCTGGTTTATAGTCATGGGGAAAAAATCTAAAAATTAATATTTTTTCGGTTTTCGTACAGTATTCACATTATGATTATAGAATTCCACACAATTCCATATAATTATTATTAGTATTAAATATTACGAACCTTTCATCATAATCATAGGACTTTTTTCATATGAGTATGAGATCGGTGGGCCTGGTCGGGTAAGTCACGCTTAAATATCACATTCTCACATTAAAATTCTATTAATCACGGTCGCCTGTCCAACCTCGTGGGTTTTCTCCGGGTCCTCCGGTTTCCTCCCACTGCTAAAGACCCCTACGCGAAAGCGAATTATGTAAATAAAATTAAACCATGTGTTAGTCCCGAAATGACCTAGTTTGTGTCGAGTGGACGTTAAACCCATTTCTCTCTCTCTCTCTATTAATCACGATTTCTATTAAAACAGATCTAGGGTGGGTTGGGGCGAGAGAATAGATATTTAACGCCAGTGGTCTAGGAGGTCTAATTTACCGAATTGACGGACATTATCAAGTGCTCGTGATGTCATAAACAATTAATGCTCCCATTAGACGTATGCAACGCATTACATATATATTTAAGACTGCGCAATAAAAAGTAGTTCCTTATATTGCTTGCAATTATTCAATTAAAAGTAAAAATGAATATTTACGATATTAAAGGGGGTGCTTTGCTGGTCCGTGGCGAGAGTTTATAGATGAATATTTATCGTAACATCAGTATTTCATACATGATTACAATTCACCAGATAGGGTATTTCTGCGCCTGTCGGTGGAAAACAACAGATTTTCACAGGAATTGAAATATAATATAAACTGTTTAATTTTTTTTACACAAACCGATATGCTATCAAATTAGAATATCCTGCAGTAATATTTGTCTATCATGGAGATTGCCAGGGCAGTCTTTGGTACCAGAGATAACGAAGGATACAGCAGCAAGGCTACAGCTGGTAAGAAAATAACCCCCGATACACGCCACGAATCGTAAAATTAGCCGATTGAGGCGATTGCATTGGGACAGGACGGATATTTCTTGCTCGAGAATGCGTTAATAACGATCGCATCACAATATTGACATTAATAATAACTATAACATCTAAATTAACTATAATTTGAAATTATTTATGCGTCTATACCCATGTTGTTCGCCCATATGCACCTTTTATTGATAACAGATGTATCATTGACGTCACTGTGTAGGCTAGTGTGTTTAGATTTTCAGCTCGGTCCGGCACTGGCACTGTATCTGATAATTCCTTTGAAGTTTGAAGACAAAACGTTGTTAGGCTTATATGATTATGACTATGGTATGAGACAGTGAGGTGATATCTGACAATCTTAAAATTATTTCATCGGGACCTGACGGATATTTCTTTTTCAGGAATGCATTAATCACATCACAATATTGACATTAACAATAACTATAGTAGTTAGTATAAAATCCAAATTATCTATAATTTTAAGGGCGTTGCCATGTCTAAGATTCACACTAACTTTTAAAACTATTTCTCGGTGATACTTTAGTACCTGTCTCCTTTTCCCCAGAAAACATAAATCCTAAACACAAAACAGAAAGATTTAGCTCTGGCATACATGTAATGTATGTTTAATGAAGTTCGAAGATGGAGCGTTTTCTGTTTAAGCTAAGCACAGATAAGCTGAAAGAATTTGATTGTTTGATGCTTTGGGACATAATAACTTTGTTTCTAATTACCTGAGAAGTGATTAAACTTGATGTACATGTATAGTTTCACGTACATCAATGCCTTGATTAAGTTTGATAATGAGCATTTTCTGCTTAGGGTAAGCAGAGTGATAAGCAATTTGATTGGTCAAGACTTAAACGGCGTTTACACCATACAATCAATCCATTCAACCGTCAGTGCAACCGTCACATCCGACCAACTGATCAGACAAATGGTCGGATGGACGGCTTATTGCATGGATAGGATCAGTTCTATTCTCATCCGACCAACTTATACAATAGCCAATCAAAGTGCGTTGTATTAGACAACGTCATATGCCGTATGGCGTCGTATCAGACTTGGCAACCAGAATTCCTGTTAAAAGATGTCTTCTTCTGTCGCTTTGAAGTCTTTGATCTCCTCTAAAATGGATCTAAACCGATCTCAGACTGAATTTGAATATATAATAACTCTGTATGGGAAGCAAAGTCTTTGTGGAACCCGCGGTATAAAGACGGGGATAAGAAGTGTCGTCTTACTGCCATTTTATTCAATCACTAAGAAGGAATAAATGTTGCCATACAACGAATAGAACCATTGTATGGTGTAAACAGTCGTCCAATATGTTGCATCCGACGGTTGTATGGATTGGTTGTATCGTGTAAACGCTGCTTTAGGAACACAATAATACCTTCTAATTGAGGTAGAATGTTAAACTTGGTGTAAGTGTTTATTAGGTGAATGCCTTGATGGAGTTCGAAAATGAGCATCTTCTGCTTAGGCTAAGCAGAGATAAGCAATTTGATTGGCTGATGCTTTGGGACACAATAACTTTGGTTCTAATTAAATGAAATTTTTCCACTTAACCAAGTGTCTTACCTTAAATTGGTATTCAAAGGTTCTATTTTACATACATGTACATGTACTTGGCAATGTGAAAAACTTAACTACACACTGAAAATATAGAATACCCAATTAGCAAAACAGAATGAATTTTTAACTGTGGAATACCCTCCACTGCCAAAACACATGAATTACTCGCGTTGCATGCAAGTTATGTCCCCTTAAGAGCACCACTATACCGTACTCTATTAAAATCTTAGTTGTCATTACTACATGTAGGATGACACTGTTTGTCGAAAGATCATATTGTTAGTAATTTGTTACGTATGAAAAATTATGGTAAAATTATGATACTACGCATCCGTTGCCAGGATAGTTGTTTTCGTAAATGTTTTTAAAAAATTCAATTACAATAGATTTCAATTGCAGTTTTCGAAAATTATTGGTATAATCATGGATATTGTAAACTTTATTATCTTCAATGTATAATGATAGAAAACAACATATTATTAGCAATACGCAAGGCCCTTTGGCTTTTAAGTTGGATTGCACAAATCATTCAGTGTAGTTTATTAATCTATCATTTGAGAAACTCATAGTCATAGAAATAGTGTCTCAGTGCCTACACTTTAGAATCTGAAAGGCCTTGCGTTGACGGTACATTGCCTGTATTTCTAACCGAATAAATATTACCGATTAAAATGCAATAGGTAAGAGTAGTAAGACAAGAAATTAATTGTAAATCATTGCAGGACCCTCTGTCCTACATGTACACCCCTGTTAAAGAGGAATCATGAAGGGCGACATCACGACATGATACCAATCGGCCACCATATCAAAGCTGATGATAAAAAAAGAAGTTTGAGGTCAACTATGCCCGGCGACATTGTCTTCATTTCAATCCCAATCCTCTATCTTTTAAAATCGCCATAATGGGCCTGCTACTAGTACATGTACATTGTGTACACTGGATTTAAAAGAAGTCTTTATAATCTTGCTTAAAGATACATTATGGGAGATTTTAATAGAGAGTTGGCCATTCTTGCTATAACAGTTCAAACATAGATGATGAAAGAAGAATATATTGAAAATTTCAGTCAAATTGCTTTATTCTGAACAAAGTTATCACTATTGTAATTTTTGACTAGAAATGGGAGTCAACTCTCTTCACCGTCTCCGAGAAAGGACGATCGTTTGATTGACAGGGGTTAACTCCCACCCACATAATCTCGATTATCAAGTAACGTTTTCAATGGCTGTGGTTTGAGACGGGGCTGCAATTCAATTCGTATCACATTTATTTTTACTACAAATTTGCTACAGACTTTTAATATGTAGATAAGAAGCGAAAGTTTGAAAGGAATGGACCAAATCAATGAGGCATAATTATAGCCGACTTCTTGTTAGCCTGCGTGTACTCTTGTACTGTAACTGGTAGGCCTGCGTAACTCCCGAACAGTGATCCAATGGAACTTTCAATCAAATTGACTGACATGCGGCCTCGCTCAACAGCGGCCTCGCTTCGTACAATCTATCATTTAGCCTCGATCTAAAATTATTTCCGGGAGTATGACGTCAACGTAACGGTTAATCTCCGCTTACGACGCCATTTAAAAATTTAATCAATCAACGAAATCCTGTTTAAATCCAAGCCGAATCCAAGCCATCCGTTGGTCTACAGAGTTGATTTTGTGCTTGTTGTGTAAATAAAGATCTAATTTATAATTTCTATGACATCTGAAGCCTAAATAAAGACTTGCAATAATCAGATTTAGCTCTTGCATAATGTATGTTTAAGTTTAAGGTACCTCCCATAGTTAAGTGGATTTTTCTCACTTAAATTGGCCTTTGAATACCACTAAAAACTTAAAAGTTAAGGCAGCTTAAATTTAAGTAAATTTTGATACTTAACATTGCCTTTGAATACCACTTACCCTTAAATTATTGGAAGTCTAGTAGTTAAATGACTTAAGATATCCTTTGAATACGGACCCTGGTGTTTAGTTTCATTACAATTACATCAATACCATTAACTAAGTTCGATAATGAGCATATTCTGCTCAGCGTAAGCAGAGCGATAAGCAATAGGTTAAGTAAAAACTATAATCTGATTGGTCAAGACTTTGGAACACAATAAATACCATTCTAAATGAGGCAGAATTTTTAAACTTGGTGTAGGTGTCTATTACTAGTATTAGGTGATGCACATTTTCTGCTAAGACTAAGCAGAGATAATCAATTTAAAAATTAATTGGTTAATACTTTCGAACTATGTATAGTTAATCAGTTTGATTGCTCAATACTTTTTTTCAAAAAGATGAATGTGCAATTAGTTACATGTAATATGTGTTGTCTATTTATTTTGGGATGTTGGCTTGTTCAGATTCACACTACCATGGTTACATGTACATACATGTACATTATAGCCACAGACATGATGAGATCTTTTTTATATGCCCACATTTTCGAATTTCGTGAAAATCGGTCCAAAACTGCCAGGCAAAATGACCGCCCCTCATACGCAAATAGTGTAAAAATATGGTGCATGTATTTCAAGGTTGTGGACCCGGAGGCCACAAATTTGATCTGATTTTGATGAAACTTGAATTGTTTGTTTATAACCCAAAGATTGTGATTCCTTTCGCTATTCGCACATATCATACTTTAACTTCCTGGATTATGCCCCCTTTGTACGAAAAATCATGTTTATTAGCTTTTTTATCCGATTATAAAAACTGGTTAACTATCATCTTTCCACCATAATTTGAATTTCAGGAAAATACATGTAGAAACTAAACTGCCCGACAAAATGGCCACTCTTTGTACGCAAATTGTGTAAAAGTATGTAATACGAAGGTTATGGACCCTCTAGAGATCACAATTTTTATCCGGTTTTGATGAAGCTTAAAATAAATCTTTATACATGTATGTCAAAGATCTCGGCCCCTTTCGATATTTATGCATTTCAGACCATAACTTTCTGGATTATGGCCCCTGATTACATGAAAAAAAGCTTTTGTTTTTTTTAGCTTGTTCTCTATCCATCTGTTGTAAAATGTGGGCGTATCGTGTCTGGCAACTGCTGGTATGTAAGTTTACAGAAAGTCCTAATTTGTATTAGCTTATGGTTGCAATATAGAAGCCATGAGTCATAATAAAGCGTCAATGAATGTAACTGAAGTTTATTTAAACGTGACAACCACCTCCTGATCTTGCTTGTTTTTCTAGCTGAAACATTATCTGAAGATGAAGATGAAGTTATCAAAGTTTGTACTGGAGATGGAATCAGTGTCTCAGCTACACCAACACTGTCAAATGAAACTGGCTTTGTTCCTACTCCTGGTGGACCTTTCTCAGCGCTTACTACTTCTATGTGGCCACAAGATATTATAGCCAAACTAGGGAACACAGTAAGAATTTTTTTCTACTTTTTCACTGATATACGGCACCTACATGTAGGTAATGTGACAAATTTAAAAGCCATGTGTACACATACAGATAAAAAGTTATCATTGCACCTCCTTGCCCATTGAAAATATGAAATTTGTTTGCTCCTTCTTCTGACTTCCATGTTAGTATTGGTTCATTTACATGTACAAGTAAAATAAAAAAAACCAATAATTTTGTGTAGGGAGTATAATGTAAGTAAAGCATTGTTTTGTATATTTATAGCCAGAGGATTCCCATGGACAGCTCGATTACAGATATGATGAATTCGGATTCAAAGTCGAGGAAGAAGGTAATATTTATATTTAATAAATCCTTTTCCACTCGTTAAAACCAAGGGGCAAGATTTTGGGTACTGTTTTGTTTCTACTCTACCTGTAATAAATACCTTCTGCAATGTAACAAAACGGTATTGCTTTTTGACGTGTTAATAGTAGTTACCCGTTCCCATGTGGACAACTACAAAAACTGAGTGTGTTGTACTCGAGGAATTACTCATATTTGTCAATTATAAATAGGTTTATATAATTGCCATACATTTTCATAGCAAAATTTATTACCTTGACTAAGACTACTTGTATACATCTATAGTTTAGACATGTTTGTGAGTTGTAGTCTATTTAGATTAGCCAATGAAATTGTTAGTTCTATTGCATAGTAGTATCAGACTTTCAAATTTGAATTGAAATTTCCATTTGGTGTAAACTTGCATCTTTCGGATACACCGGACTGAGATTGAGAACTAGGCTGTGATAAACTGAAAAAAATTATATTGTCTCCAGTGAGGCAAGTTAAAAATTTATCCCCAGATAAATAATGGTAATTTGACAGGTAAATAATATTATAAATACTATATAGCGTTTGAAGTATTAATAATACTCAAGTCACAGGAGGATGGTGAGGTTTATAGAGATAAGAATTTCAGGTTACAGAGTTATGTTTACAAAAAAATTGTAAACATTTATTTAATTCAAGACATTTTTAATTTTATAGGTGAATACCTTGATGGAGTTTGCTGATGAACTTTGCTTATGATTAATTGAGGGCTTTGAAACTCCGAGTATAAATTCATTATATCATTACCTTGACTAAGTTTGATGAGAATTTTCTGCTTAGGCCAAAAGTTACCATCTGATCTGTATGAAATTTAAATTAGTGAAACGAAGACTCCTATTGAATTTCAGCAATTTCCTGTTATAACTTCTAGAATTATGGCCCTTGTTTCACTTTGTTGAATCTTGTGAACGCTCTTACGATATAAATTATCATCCAATCTGTATGAAATTTATATGCATCATTTAAATTAGTGAAACGAAGAGACCTGTTGAATTTCAGCAATTTTCGTTAATTACTCCTTGAATTAAGGCCCTTGTTTCAGTTTGTAGACCCTTTTTTTTATTGTGAACCCTCAAACATCTGAAATTATAATCTGGGCCCTTATTCACGAAAACTTAAACTAAGTTACAACCGAAATTTTAAGAAATACTGCAACTTCATTGGATATATGCAAATTGATTTTACTGGTCAGCCAATCGAATTGCAGTATTTCTTAAAATTTCGATTGTATCTTAGTTTAAGTTTTCGTGAATAAGGGCCTTGATCTGTATGAAATTGTCTTGTAAATGCCCCCATTACCGACAAAATAATAACTATGCAAATTTTAAGAAATACTGCAACTTCATTGGATATATGCAAATTGATTTTACTGGTCAGCCATTCGAATTGCAGTATTTCTTAAAATTTCGATTGTATCTTAGTTTAAGTTTTCGTGAATAAGGGCCCTGATCTGTATGAAATTGTCTTGTAAGTGCCCCCATTACCGACAAAATAATAACTATGCAACAACTCTTGTCGACTGCTTGTACAAGTTAGCTGCTGTGGGCGTATGTTTCTTGCCTGGCAACCGATCTTTACAGTAAGCCATAGCTTGAATTTTGCTCAGAATGCTTCTCACATTAGAAATTGTAACAGGTGATCGTGTTATAAGTTAAAATTGTACTATTTTAAGCATTTCCTATCTATATGCAGTTATGTTGTTTATTATCAGATGGACCAGAAGAAAATTCTAGTATTTTGCTCAGTACACCATTTGTTGAAGATCCACAATATAGATTGAAATGGACAGCTTATCTTGAATTTACGCATAATAATGAAGTTGGAGATTTAACATGGGATAAGGTAGTACAGTTTCAATCATCTATTATGATCTATACATGCTATACATGAAGGTGCTATAATACACATAGTTAAACATAAATAAACAACTGTTTCTATTAATTTGTGGCTTACTAACTAAGGGGTTCCCCACATCAATCCCTGTACGGTTTCCCTTAGTCACTGGTGCAGGATGGAGGGCAAAGAACAGTGTCTAGTCCTTCAGATGGGACAAACAAACAAGGTCCCATGTACACATAGCGTGCATCTAAAAGAACCCTGGGAGTTGGAATTCAAAGAAGAGTACTACATGACATGTAGGTGGAAACGTCATTGTCTTGTCAAAATTATCATCCTAGCACACTACATGATATATGCCTGTCTTGATTCACCCAGTTAGTGCAGAAAAGTAAGACGTTTAATCCCATTTCATTTCAAGTCTTGTGTCTGTGATTGTACTTCAATGAAATTGTCTGTTGCACCTTTGAAATGCAGAATTGATTTGTCCCTTTAAACAAATAATGATTTTGTTTCTAATCCACTTATCAACATTGGTGATGTCAGTCCAGATGTGGTCATTGATAAAACTTAATTGAATAGTTTGATAGACTGATTGATATGGTGAACTTCCTGTAGAGTTGAACTATTTTGTTGAGATCGTAATTTAGAATTATGTGTGATAGTTATAATTTACGAAAACTGCAAGTTCGATTAAATAAGACTACTTCACATACCAGAACCATGAATAAATTTTCTATTTTCTATTCACTGCAATAAAATACACATGTATTAACTCGCATAATTATGAATACTTAACAGGTTGAACCCCGATTACCTAGATCTGAAAAATTACGAGGTATGGTCCGAAATGGCATTCCACATTCTTTACGAAGTCAGATTTGGATGAGGTTATCTGGTGCATTAGAGAAAAAACTGAATTCAGAATTAAGCTATAAAGATGTCGTGAAAGCAAGTGCGAATGATCATCTCATGACATCCAAACAGATAGAAAAAGTGAGTTAAAAAAAAAGAGACAATAATTCATGCATCTCTCTTTATTGCTAAACAAGTCATTAAATATCTGAAACTGCTGATTGTCATTTGCATTTTTAATACAATATCTGATTTATGACATCTTTATCCACTCCAAAATGTAGCCAAAAAGATTAACACTGAATTGAGAAATCAGAAGCAAAATATCATGGTTGGAATTTGACTAGATTAAATAGAGGCCCATCAAAAGATTTCACATACTGTGCCACTTGTTTATGTTGTCTGCAGAAGATGTGGAATGCTGTGAAATTTTCAATTTATTATATTTTTATAAATATTGGAGGAAATTGAAACATTTTTGGACTGTTGCCCCTTTTAGAGATTCCACAATGGATTTGAAATCCCTCAGATAACGATCAGCAACTTTAAGAGCAAAACAAGGTTTTTTAAAACTGATAGACTGAATTAATGTTTAACTATATAAAAACAATGTGTGCATGACATTAATCATTTTAGATGAAACATTATAATATCAGTTTCTATATGATAATGTATTTTTTTGCAGGATTTATTAAGGACCATGCCCAGCAATGCATGTTTTTGTAATATCAGCAGCACAGGAATTCCCCGATTAAGAAGAATTCTGCGAGGTCTGGCTTGGTTATATCCTGATATAGGATATTGTCAGGGTACGGGTGTGGTAAGTTAAACTCATGACAGTTAAGCCCGGGCCATACCGCCACGATTTGCCCAGACTCTACCAAACGCAACGTCTTGTCTCAGATAATCAGTGCAGTGAGGACAGTCCCACGACCACGATTCAATCGTTTTCCGTCGCGCCGTGGCCAGTCGGCCCGATTGAACATGTTCAATCGTAGTCGGATGCAGTTGGTTGCAGTCATAATTATCGTGTTTACTTTTGGAATCACTCGCTAGAGGGAAGTGGCGTAACTCACGACGCATAATCTGTGGGAGTCGGGCTTGTGTGGACTGGTACCGTTGTAGGCAAGTGAAGTAAAGGCGCGACCCAATTTTTCTTTTACAACTACCCAAGACGCCGAGTCCTGTCGGCTTGTGTGTAGTCGTAGCGGTATGGGCCGGGCTTTAGACTGACATCTAAAACATAATGATTAAAGAATTATCATTTTCAGATTGTTGAACATTTTCATGATCTAGTCTTTTAGCTTGATACTGAGGCAGACACATATAATAATTATATAACTATTTACACTAATTAGATGATTACAGCTAATGAAGCCTTGGCAGTTGGAATTCGAAAAAAAAAACCTGAGACAGAAACACCCCTGACTGTCTGGGCAACATTTTCCTCATAGCACAGAACATGATGTATGGCTGTCCACATTACACCTATTGGTGCAGAAAAGTAGGATGTTCAAGTCCATTTCATTTCATTTATTCTAGATAGCTGCATCGTTATTGTTATTTAACGAAGAAGAAGATGCTTATTGGATGATGTGTGCTATTATAGAAGATTTATTACCAGCTTCCTATTATTCTAATACATTGATTGGCATTCAGGTTAGTAAGAAAACATGATCCTGTAAAATGATTTGGAGAATTGTATGTTACATGTACTAGAATTGTTTCCTAAAATTATCTATAAGTAATATATTTCTAGATCAGATGTGCTTATGGTTAGATATCTTTAAATAACGTTCCTGTCTTCATTAGTGCAGAATTAATGTTGATGCACATTTAATGTAAAACATAGGAATTAGGAACCCAAATACCTAAACAGATATGCATTATATGATATTTCAGTCGACTAAAATGAACGGGGTAAGGGTTGGGTTGTCCATCTGTGTGCTTTAGATTATAAATAAGGGCTGTCATGGGGCAATCTCATGACTATTCTCGCAGTACTCTGGTTTCCTTCCACTGCTAAAGACCCCTGTGCACAACTGAATTCTTGAAATAAAATTGTACATTATGTAAGTCCCAAAACAACCTATTTTTGGTTCAGCGATATTGCTCTGTCTCTCTCTCTCTCTCTCTTCCCCCCCCCCCCAAACAGTCGGTGGGTCGTGGACACTTTAGAGGCTAAAGTTATTATCCGGTTGACTTTAAATTTATACCCAGTGCTTAATGTTATGAGATGAAGAATCTCATTGATTTTCACCTATTTCCGATAATTTCTGCCAGCCAGAGTTATGGCCCTTGACCACTTTGAAAAAATCTTGTGGATGCTCTAGAGGCTAAAGTTAATATCCAATTGACTCTAAATTTATGCAGTGTTTAAGGTCATGAGACGAAGATTTCCGATAATTACTGCCAGAGTTATGGCCCTTGATCACTTTGAAAATCTCTAGCGGCTAAAGTTTATATCCGATTGACTTTGAATTTATACACAGTGTTTAAGGACATCAGGTTATGATTTTATATTTATACACCGTGTTTACGTCTATATATAATCGTTTTGATTGACTTTAGGTTGATATACAGAGTTTAACGTCTTGAGACGAACAAGTATATTGATTTTCAATAATTTTTGATAACTTGAACAGCTAAATCCAAATCCATGATATTAGATGTTTTGTATACTAAACTTTAGCATGGGCCAAAAAAATTCCAATGATTTTATGATAATTACTTAATGAGATTTTAATGTATTATAAATGTTTCATTACCGACAAAAGTAAAAGTATGCAACAACTCTTTTGACTGCCTGGACGATTTAGCTGCTGCAGACGTATGTTTCGTTGCCTGGCAACCTATCTTTATTTCTTTCAACAGGCAGATCAAAGGGTATTGAGACAATTGATAATAAGTTATCTACCTAATGTGGATTTAGTACTCAAAGAACATGACATAGGTAAGTAAAGTAAATTCAGTGGATTATTACAAAAATACAAACATTTACATTTCATTACTCTCAAGTCTGTAATTTATTCAGGTTTGCTCGATCACTAGCAATATCAATATAGGATCTGATATTATTCATAATGGACTAGAATTCATATAATTCTGTTTTTTATTTTTTAATATTCTATATATGCAATACAGGATGTGATAAGTATGGTAGTATTGTTATAAACTATACAAAACAAAGATAATTGTAACAGCTGGTGTTATATTAAAGCTACTATGTAGCAAAATTCATGTGGTTATTTTTTGTGTTTTGAGTGGGATGTATATTATAACACTCCATATATAGCAGTCTATATGTAGATAATGTAAACTTGTTACCTGTCATGTTTCTGATAACAATCAAAAATTTTAATGACTTTTTATGAAAGATGGGTTTTAATAATTGCGTAAAAGTGTGTAAGGTATACACAGTGCCGGATTTACCTATATGCTGGGCAGGCTGAAGCCTAGGGTCTCAAGATCAAGGGAGCATCCGACCAAGATGTAATATTTTGGACACTGTCATATAAGGTTTTCTTACATGCATCATCCATGGCTTCGCTCAACTGTGTTTAGACAAACTTTTTTCTACCGCTAGTCATGAGGGTGGGGGATTGGGAGGGCCCTCATAAGTTCAAAATTAAAAATCAAGAGTACTTTTATTTATTTTGGAAAAAAAAACAAGATCCTGATCCAAACATTATTCAAATCGATCAATTTTAACTTCATTTCATTTCTTTATTTCTTTAATTCTACTGACTTATTATACAAATGTATATACACACACATTATTATAATTATAGTTACATACAAATAAAAAATGTATATACATGACAAGTAAATACAAACCAACAGACAAAAGAAGTGTGTGCTGGGGTGTAAATAAATTGGGTTAAATTAATAGCCTAAATAGGACACACAGATACAAAACCACAAAAAACATCAGTATATACAAACATTCTAATTAGATCAGGTGTTAGGAAAAATTGATTATCATTTAATAGAGTTGTTCTTTTCTTATTGGGAAAATTTGGATTAGGGTCTCTTGTCACCTAAATCTGGCACTCAGTATACATTTTTGTTCTGTATATACATGTAAGAGATATTTTCAAAACACTAATATAATCAATGGTAATTTTATAACTTGTATTGGCAGTGGTAGAGATTATTTGATAACTGTTACTTATCATGATGCATGTATTTCTTGTATTGCATTGGGCCATTTCAAGTCATATGTTGGCTTGGGTAATGGTTGTGTTTATCTGGTGTTGTATTAACCTGCGCTACAAGTACAACTCTTTACACTAGGGTTAAACCAGAGTTTACAGTAGTATAATATTAACAACATTGGTGTTACACAAGATTTACTTACGGAACTGTATCAATTTGAAGGAGTATTTCAATATTGAAAGATGCATTATGTAAGAGCTAAATCTTCCTATTGCAGGTCTTTGTTTTGGCTATAAATGTTATATAGATTATTAATTAGGCATTTATTCACATGACAAACCCATAATCAACTCTCTAGACTATTGGGTGGCCCTGATTTTGAATATATTATTTTAACACAATTGCCATTTAATAATTTAATGTAAGAATGGATAATGGAGACTTTGTTAATTATCATACTAGCAATGGTACTTGTAAATCAAGACTATATAGTGAAAACGCTCATAACTTTGCCCAAAATAAAGTAATTTGACTGTAATTTTCAATATATTCATTTTGCATGGAACCATTATAGGAAGAAGGGCCAGCTCTTTATCTAAATCTTACATGATGCATCTTTAAAGTGAAAATTCTTCCAAAGGTAACATTAAAAATACACAAATATTGTGTATGGCCCTCTGAATACTATGATGATCATGACTAAAGATGAATATTTTAACACCTTAAGTTGGTTCTGGAATTATTTTTATTATTATAATCATAATACTTTTTTCTCTTAGCATAAATTTTGTTTTATTAAGCCCAGTTCATACAAATTTGTTTACATAAACCTGGAAAAGGATATTGAAAATATGTAAAAAATGAAGAGCTTAGGATTAAGTTTGTGTTTCGATAATTAGACCAATATATAATACAACATCAACACCACAGACCTTAACTAGAATAAATTTTAGGGGGCTTGGGTAGCCGAATGATCCAACAGGTGTACTGTGTACTTCAATTCCCTGCTTGTATGTAACAAGTAGAGTTACCTGTTCAACCATGTGTTAGTCCCAAAATGACCTAGTTGTGTCAAGTGGATGTTAAACCCCATTTCTCTTTCTCTGATATATTTTAAATACAGACACAACACCTTAACCCTGGACTTGAATTAACTTATCGACTCCAGAAAAACATTCCGGTAAAATATTGTCTGAACAGATCCTGTCCGTTTACAATCAAAATATATTTGTAAATGCTTTAAAAGTTTATATATTTATATCCACTTGTATGCTTAACCTGCATGTTTTCCCTGCATGATTTCAGAGCTCTCCCTAATCAGCTTACATTGGTTTTTAACACTGTTTGCCAGCGTGGTTCATATGAGAGTTTTGTTACGATTGTGGGATCTCTTCTTTTATGAAGGATCAGTGGTTATTTTTCAAATTACCATGGGCATGTTGAAATTGAAGGTAGGTTATAATATTTACTAACCATACTAATGTAAAATATACTAGAGATTGACAGTCTAAAAAGATGTGGAAAATGCAACAGTACTTCAAATTCTGTATTAAACTATTTGACATGTTGAAGAATATGTGTAAATAGTATCAGATTTTCTTATACCTTAATTTGTTTTTCTTTTCTTTTTATGATAAGTGCCCAAATTTATTGGTCTCTAGAAGTGCTTGGTTCAACTCTGGAGTATAATAAGGCATTACAAAATAACAAAATATATGCATGAAGCAAGAATTAATCATTACTTATTACAATTGCTTAAACATTGTGAAACCCAAGTTCAAATCTTACTACTAATCAGAATGGTTATCAGTCATAAAATAGTAGAGATGATAATCTATTGATTGTGTTTCAATGAATTCAGGAACAAGAATTAGAAGGATTAGATAACTCTGCCCAGATATTTAATGCACTATCTGATGTACCTGGTGATGTAGAAGATGTAGAAGAATTAATTGAGGTTAGTTAGTAATACAGTTGTCCAACCTTGTTCCAACTTTGTGAGTCATACCTGTTCCACGTTTGTGAGTCGTAATTGCATGTGTTAAATGAAAAGATAACCGTGTAGGCAAACCCACTCAGAAAGTATGTGAAAATCTTTTGAGGAATTCTCAGAACACTGGGCTTGTATAGGTTGATATACTCTAATATATCTCTCTTAAAGATAATCAACATCACAAAGCATATAAATTCCAGATATTTCTAAAAACAGACTGAAAATTAGTTATCTGTAATTTCAGTTGATAAAAGCTTGGCTGAAAGAAAGCATTATCTGATTCAAAGAGACAATGCTGAATAAATACAATTATGTCTTTTTATACATTAGCTGAAACAGCAGTGTACCAGTTGATTTAGAAGCCTAGGGTCATTTGTATTGATTTATTTTAATATTCATTTTATACTAAAATTACAATGAGCAAATGAAGTGTATGGAATTTATAACTCGATTAGACAAATATCAGTTTGAAAAAAATAGATTTTGTGTAGGGAGACAAGCATTGATACTGTTGAGGTATATGAGACTTGCTAATTTGCATGTTCTGTGAAAATGCCAAGGTTTTTATAATTTTATCTTTTTAATAAATAATATTTCATTCTTGGATGTCTGAATAACATTGAAGAACGAGATTAGCCTATATAACACCTTCACCCTCCAAATTATGACTTTGATTATTTTATAATTTTGTTCCTTGCTGATTTTAGATTGCTTTCCGAGTTGCTGGTTCACTGTCTGATGTTGTTGTTGATACTCACAGAAGAAAACATTTGGCCTATTTAATGGCTGATCATGGGGCTTTAGTAAATCCAGAATCCTCCCGTAATTTACCCAAACAGGTTAGTAACTATTACATATAAATCATCCCATTTCTAGCTACTACTTCTAGTCAAACAATATGTTAATTCTCTTCAACATGGCTGGGATGGAGATTCCTTATATAATAAAATGGTTGGGTTCAAAGTTTTACTTTTCTGCACTAACCTGGCTGATGAAGACGGATATACATGTATCACTCACTATGAGTGAATTATTGCCCAAATAAAGGAGCAATGGCAGGCTTTTATTTCAGGAGATCTTTTATGTCCTGGTAAGCACCATGGTTCATTGTCCCAATTCAAAAGACTAGACACTTCTCCTTGTTAGACTTTTATGTCCCACAACACTGACTAGAGAAAACCAGATAGAAAAAAACCTCAAGAACTATCTTTGATGACACTAGACTCGGACAAGGTATCTCCAGGTTAGTGAGCCAGTGATATACTTAGTGAACCACCTTGTCTCCAGAATAGTTTTTAAAACTTGTTCTCTGTTTTACAATGTGCATATTATTTCTCTGGATCATTTCACTTTTTCATAAAAAAAAAAAATGAATTAATTTTTTAGCAACTGAACAAAAGGCATTTAAAAAGGTCGAGATCATCACTGTCTATATTATTATGGGGAAGTGAAGATGATGACTTTGGTAAAGCTAAAAATATTCATCAAACAGAAATACTGGTAGATCTTCGTGAAGCTATTCTACAAGTTGCTAGACATTTTCAGTCTCTAGATCCTAAAAATAATAAAGTGGTAAGTTACTGATCAAAGGTACCATACATTGATTTCAACCAGAAACCATATTATTGAATCATTGTATTGGTGAACATGTAAATAAATATTGCTATATAATCATGAAGGCGATGAGAAATTGTTGTGTGCGGAGTGTTATTTGTATGTTGTGTGCTGAGTGTTATCGGTATGTTGTGTGTTGAGTTATGTCGGTTGTGCTGAGTCTTATCGGTATGTTGTGTGCTGAGTGTTATCGGGTGTGCTGAGTGTTATCGGTACGTTTTGTGCTGAGTGTTATTGGTATGTTGTGTGCTGAGTCTTATCGGTATATTGTGTATAGTCTTATGGGTATGTTGTGTGCTGAGTCTTATCAGTAATGTATTGATCTTGACGAATTATTGAACTCTGCGACAAATAATCCTTAGTGATAAATGTAATGTTCTGGCAAGAGACATTCAGTATGTTGAATAGATGAAACATGTCCCATACATACACCATACATAGATTTGTAATAAGTTAATGATATTGGTATTTTGTAGATACTAACAGCAGATTATACAATGGATAGTCATGCCAAAGATCTAGAAAACTATGTTAATGTTGCTAGAACGAGACGAAGAAGAGCTAAGGCATTGTTAGATTTTGAAAGAAATGATGATGATGAATTGGGTTTCAGAAAGAATGATATCATTACAGTGAGTATTTTTCATTATATATTGAATGTACAGAGGGGCTCTGGAGGCAATACCATTTGCTTGAAAAAGCTTCAAAATTCATTTCTTACATTTATTTGTAACCGGGCTAACTGTGGAATGTCATTATGTTATCCTGAGATATACAAATATTCATCATCATCCTTTCAACTAACACTTGTAAATAATACATTCAAACCAACTAAAAATATATCAAAACTAATAAAATATTGTTATGTAAAATAATAAACTATAATAAAACATTATAATGCAGATTGACAAATAACAAATCAACTATTGCACATTGCACTAAAGGGGGGGCTTATGTCGACTCTGCAACTCAAAGCAACTAGTTCCAGTCAGTTGCAAATGTGCTTATGTCAATCATATCAGCAACTGAGAACAACTGACAGCATCTGATTTCAGAGCGCTCATGTTGACTCAGAACTGATAGCGATTACACTAAACTGTAGCACTATGAAGTGCTATGAGTTGCTGGTTAGATGTGGAAAGTACAATTAAACAAAAAAAACCCACATCCAACTTGTGACACATACTCTCTTCTCTGCTAAATATTTTAATAGACTTGTGATCGTCTATTATTGTCTCTGGTTATATTTGTTTCTTTTTCTCTTCTTAGAACCCGCGTTGTGTATATTTTTATCTCTGCCATCAAGACGGTTATCTTCTCAATAGTTAAGACATCCATAACAATGCAACAGTTCATTTTTACATTTTATATCAAGCACTGGTTACATAAATGAAATGAAATGAAATGGGGTTTAACGTCCTATTGTTTTGTTCCGAACTGGGCTAATGAAGACGGGCATATGCCTTACAGTGTGCTATGAGGGAAATTTTGCTTGGACAGCGGCACTACGGTCTACTCTTATATCGAATTCCAACTGTCAAGGGATTTTTTACGTGCACGCCAATGTGTACACGGGACCTCTGTTTTTCGTACCATCCGAACAACTAGACAGCTGTCCTTGTCAGGCCCTCCATTCTCCCAGATACAAGCATTGATTACAATAAAGTTATTCTCTCCTCTCTCAACCCCACCATTTCGTAGAACGAGTTTACTGACAAACTTATTACATCATATGGCTCTTCTACGACTTGACGGGGCATTCTGAATTCAGATGGTATCTCTTGAGCCTCAACTGTCTATGCTTTCCAAGAAGATATTATGGTTGATGCAATTGTAATTTTCCGATCACGAGTGTTCTGGGTGCCTTCGTTTGCTTCCACTTTGTTCTTATTTATAAAGTCACATTACAAATGTCTCTTATCATGTGATGTTATTTCAATGGAAAGGAGTTGACGCCAGTTGTAAGACTGCTCATGTTGACGGCAACCAGTTGCCACTAGTTGAACAAGTTGCAGAAAGTTAACGATGGGTAACTGGCTTCAACTGACTGAAACTAGTTGCTTTGAGTTGTAAGGGGTGCTCACTGCTCAGGTCAACCTTTTTCAGTTGCATTCAGTTGATGAAATGGCAGTTGCTCTCAGTTGTAAGGTTGACATAAGTCCCCCTTAAGATGGACTGGCCTAATTTGATTTGAGGATATCAATTTTATTTCAAAGAAACTCGTTTGTTCGCTCGACCGTCCGTCCGTCACACTTTTTGTGATTGGTTGATGCTTTGGGACACAATAACTTTAGTTCTGATTAAGTGTGAAGTGTGAGTGATCAAACTTGGTGTATAGTTTAATTACATCAATACCTTGACTAAGTTCGATAGTGAACATTTTCTGCTCAGGGTAAGCAGAGCGGCAACAATTTGATTGTGTTCGAGACTTTGAAACACAATAACTCTCCTTCTAATTGAGGTAGAATTTCAAACTTGATGTAGGCGTTCATTAGGTGAATGCCTTGATGGAGTTCAATGATGAACTTTGTCTGCTTACATTAAGCAGAGATAAGCAATTTGATTGGTTGATGCTTATGGGCACGATAACTTTGGTTATAATTAAGTGATAGCTATGAAACTTTGAGTATAGATTCATTATATCATTACCTTGACTAAGTTTGATGAGAATTTTCTGCTTAGGCTAAGGAGCGATAAACAATTTGATTGGTCAAGACTTTGTTACATAACAACTCTGCTTTTAAAGATACATTATGGGAGATCAGATAACGAGTTGGCAGTTCTCACTATAATAGTTAAAAACTAGATAATGTAAAGGCAATTTGCTGAAAATTGCAGTCAAATTGATCCACTATAAACCAAGATTTTAGCGATTGAATATTGGGGCTAGCCTCGATCATCATTACTAAAGTTGGTAGGATAAAAAACATAGTCTCGATTATCCATTTTTTGATTTAATTATGAATAGAAGTCGAACAGCAAATCAGAATGTAATCCAATAAACAGCGCATTCTAGAGTTGATTATGGTCTGGATAAGTTAATTAATGTCTAATTAATAATTTAGATAACATTTCAGGCCCAATGAAAGACCTGCAATAGGCAGATTTAGCTCTAGCATAATGTATGTTTAAATGAGGTAGAATGATTAAACTTGATGTTGATGTTCATTAAGTGAATGTCTTGACTGAGTTCAATGATTTCCTGCTAAAGCTAAGCAGGGCTAAGCAATTTCTTTGACTTTGATTCTATCTGATATAGAGTGATGAAACTTATTGATAATCAGTTTGATTGCTCGATACTTTTGAAAAAGATAAATGTGCAAATAATTTATATGTGTCATCTATTTATTTCTGGATTTCAGTGGTTGATATCAGCCTCACTGTTGGCTTGTTTTTAGCAATTTTATTGTCTTTAGGTTCTCATATTTTCTAGATTATTAAATGGAAGATGATATATCCACCATTTTGATTACGTTGATCATGGTAGTAATCAAATAATTCATATTTTTTTTCGTTTGTTCAGATTATATCTCAGAAAGATGAACATTGTTGGATTGGTGAGTTGAATGGTTTACGTGGTTGGTTTCCTGCTAAATTTGTAGATTTATTAGATGAAAGAAGTAAAAATTATTCTCAAGCTGGTGATGATTCTATAACTGAAGCTATAACAGATCTTGTCCGAGGAACGTAAGTATAATTGTTTGAGTTAATATTGCTAATATGATAGTGTTCTAATCATACAGATTTAATAATGTTGGATATAGCCGATAATCGTCGGCACCTACCGGAAAATATTGATATAGATATTCAGTTCTTGATATCGATACTGGTATAAAAAATAAAGAAGCTTCAATAAACTGAAATTAAAGGAATATTTGATATCAAATATTCAGTGTCAGATTCACCAAGGTACAACTACTGCTTAGCGGTTTTTCACATTCACTTACAATGACAATGAATAATCAGTTGTTCAGGGGAAATAACTCCATTTAAATAGATTAGAAGTTTATTTATTGTTATAAGTGGCCAGGGAAAATTGTCTACAGTGATTGATGGCAAGTGCGAAGCTGCAAATACCATTTTCTTAATGACATCATCAGGTACTTACATGTAAGCTTTGAACGAAACAAACATTAAGATAACACAGTTTGAGAATCATAGTTTTTTTTTTATTTGATCAATAACACATTTTAATACATTATTAGCATACAAACAGTTATTTCTTTCAACTTAAAACTCTCCAATATATCGATATCGCCTAAATAGTTGCTGAAATCGATATGTAAAATCGGTATCGATTGCCAGCCCTAGTTGGATGAGAAACCCATTATTGAAGGTACAAATGCATGCCCTTTAAGTCATGATGATATTACAATGCAGAAAAGGAATGACGCCCAGTGGTTACATTCGTTTAGATGATCCTAAAGCCCCCTAGAATAAACTAAATTCTGTCATGATGATATTACAATGCAGAAAAGGAATGACGCCCAGTGGTTACATTCGTTTAGATGATCCTAAAGCCCCCTAGAATAAACTAAATTCTGTCACAACTTGTTTGTGTGTGGCCATGAATTAATGGTGTTATTTTATACCCGAAAACATTCATATTTTACATTAATATAGGAGGCCTCTAGATAACAAAGGTTTCTAGGCATATTCATTAGTTTTTATATGCCCACATAATAATGTTGGATATAGCCGATAATCGTCGGCACCTACCGGAAAATATTGATATAGATATTCAGTTCTTGATATCGATACTGGTATAAAAAATAAAGAAGCTTCAATAAACTGAAATTAAAGGAATATTTGGTATCAAATATTCAGTGTCAGATTCACCAAGGTACAACTACTGCTTTGCGGTTTTTCACATTCACTTACAATGACAATGAATAATCAGTTGTTCAGGGGAAATAACTCCATTTTAATAGATTAGAAGTTTATTTATTGTTATAAGTGGCCAGGGAAAATTGTCTACAGTGATTGATGGCAAGTGCGAAGCTGCAAATACCATTTTCTTAATGACATCATCAGGTACTTACATGTAAGCTTTGAACGAAACAAACATTAAGATAACACAGTTTGAGAATCATAGGTTTTTTTTTATTTGATCAATAACACATTTTAATACATTATTAGCATACAAACAGTTATTTCTTTCAACTTAAAATTCTCCAATATATCGATATCGCCTAAATAGTTGCTGAAATCGATATGTAAAATCGGTATCGATTGCCAGCCCTAGTTGGATGAGAAACCCATTATTGAAGGTACAAATGCATGCCCTTTAAGTCATGATGATATTACAATGCAGAAAAGGAATGACGCCCAGTGGTTACATTCGTTTAGATGATCCTAAAGCCCCCTAATATAAACTAAATTCTGTCATGATGATATTACAATGCAGAAAAGGAATGACGCCCAGTGGTTACATTCGTTTAGATGATCCTAAAGCCCCCTAGAATAAACTAAATTCTGTCACAACTTGTTTGTGTGTGGCCATGAATTAATGGTGTTATTTTATACCCGAAAACATTCATATTTTACTTTAATATAGGAGGCCTCTAGATAACAAAGGTTTCTAGGCATATTCATTAGTTTTTATATGCCCACATTTTTATGTGATTTTGAGGAAAATTGAAATTTTTGATTGTAACTGTGCCTGACAAAATGGCCGCTCCTTGTACGCAAATAGTGTAAAAGTAAGTAATACCAAGTTTGTGGACTCACAAATACACAACTTTTATCCGATTTTGATGAAACTTAAAATATATCTTTCCCAAATATCTCTGTCCATTTCGATATTCGCACATTTCAGACCATAACTTCCTCGATTATGGCCCCTGATTGTACGAAAATCGCTTTTTTTTAATTTTAGCTTGTTCTCTATCCATCTCTTGCAAAATGTGGGCATATCTTTCCTGGCAACCGCTGGTTCTTCTACTGAAGGTAGGTCAGCCAATCTGAGTGTGAAATAGATGTATTTAATGTCCTCTTCCACCGAAGTGATATAGCCGACAAGCTATGCAACAGTATACTTATATTGAAAAAAGAACCAGAACTCTACCAGGATTAAATGTATATTTTATCTGTTGTAGGTTATGTCCTGCTATAAAAGCTGTATTTGAGCATGGATTAAAGAGATCTAATTTATTAGGAAGTAACTGTCATCCATGGCTGTTTATAGAAGAGGTAATATTAATAATTTATTTTATTAATGTATCTGTTTACATGTTATTAATTTCTGCTATTTTGAATAACGCTGGCCATTATGGTCAAGTGATCCTTGATGTAAAGCTGTTCCTCAGTCAGAGATGAAGGGCTTCTTTGGATAAATTTATAAACATTGTTTTGAAACTTTGCATACTTATTCCTTATATACCCTAAGGATGATCCCTATTGTTTTTGGTGCATGCCTGACTCCCAGGGGCAGAACCTTGCCCACCTTTCTTATTTGTTTGTTTGTTGTCTACAGGCTGCATTTCTTAATGGATCATCTTGAAACTTTGCATACTTACATGTATTCCTTATACCCTAAGGATCATCCCTATTGTTTTTTGTACTTGTCCAACCCCCAAGGGCAGAGCCATGCCCATTTTCTCTTTGTGTGTCGCCTACAGACTACAATTCTGAAAACTTTTCATACATATTCCTTATGCGCTAAGGATGATCTCTATTATTTTTGGTGCATGCCCAATTTTTGTATTTATTTCGTGTGTCTCTGTGGCACCTACAGGCCACAATTCTTAACAGATCTTTTTGAAACTTTGCATACCTATTCCTTATACCCTAAAGATGATCGATATTGTTTGAATATATGATCCATCATAGGTTTGTACTTATTTATATTGATCTATATCCATCCACCCCCACCCCCCCAAGGGGCAGAGCCTTGCCCAATTTTTGTTTTTTTTGTCTACAGGCTGGAATTCTAAATTGATCATCATGGAACTTAGGATATTTAATACTTATACTGTAAAGACAGCAACCTTTTATCTTTTTGCATGCCCTGAACCCCATTGGGTGCTGTTATACCCACTTTTTTGTTAATATTTAGTCTGTAAATTTGGCAAAACAAACCCAACACCTCTTGTCATATTACAGTCATTGCAGCCATGTCATATTTCATTCTCTTCATTTTAAAAAAGTGCCATATCAATCAAAGCAGGAATGTGGACGTATATTGCTGCAGTAGTGATGCTCTTGTTAAATCTTCATAAAAGTTTGTCAATATCTGTTGCTTCATTTAAGAGAACTAGAGACTTCAAAACAAACAAAAAACTGTTAAGGAGCTCATAAAATGGTTATATCAAAATTGTATATACTTGTAGCCAGTATTTATTATAAACACTTTAGCTAATTGCACAACGATCTGATTAAAATTATTCAATATAGGATGACCTTCTATGTGTCAGACCCATTTCAGTTAACATGCAACAAGCTAAACTTTATTACTCAATCAACAATCTTAATCTCTTGACCACTATTCCTCCATTTTCTAAAGGACGAATAACATAAATAATACGAATGTTGATGAACTTAATTTATATGATTATTAATTGAAACCAATTTGTTTTGTATAGATCCAGGATAAATACTTATTTGTATTGGCTTCATTGGTGTTCATAGATTAGGGGCATCAATAACAATTTCATACACATCTTGTTTTAATCTTAAGCTTATTATTGTAGGTGTAAAGTTGGCTTACCCCAATATATATATACTGATCAAATTGATATGATTATCACTACAGTGACTGTCTTGGTTATGGCATTTATGAAACAAATTCTAAAGTTAAATCACTCTTTTAAGCTATGCTAATTTGTCTCGCTCATTTCATATATACATGTAAAGAAAATTATTCCGTAGTTAATTGTTTTATCTTATTAGGAGATTAAGGAATCAGCTAGGCGTTAATAAGTACTCATACCCGGTGTGTATATGATAATTAAGGAATTAACATTTCTAATATTAATATGCATTCGGTCACTGTGATGTCACTGGCATTTGAGCAGATTAAGAGTGTTTTCGATGATTGGCAAAGTCGTTTGTACAGGATTTTATATTTGCAACTTTCAGTGAAGATGGCTGAATTGATTTTAATCAGATTGGTGGGAACTTGCCGTAAAGTGTGTATATATAGATAGTAACAACTGGCTATATATAAGTAGGCCTACTTACATTTTGGGGGGGCCATTTTATGTGCAAATGCAGCTGTAATTTTGACCCTGTTGTGCTAGAATTCTCTTTATCTTCTCTTCTCTCCTTGTTAACTGTTCGTTTGTCACCAATACAAGCCATTCATGACTGGAACAACTGGTTTGCACAATAGTTATTTAAAACTGACAAAATCCGATATTGTATATAGAACAAATATAGATCTTGTATACATATATAAAAAAAAAGAACAATTATTAAACAGGATGCAGATGAACATAGTTTATATATAAACATTTAAAACTTTTAGTTGCTTTTGTATGTGGACGCAACAGTAAGGTGTGTACATTTATCATAGGGAAAACGGTTAAAGATAACATAGAATTGTTATTAAAAATGCCTTCTCAGCTACAAAACCATATTCAAATTAATCTTATCAAAATTTTTTGTCAAATCCCTCTTAAAACATTTTAATCGCAAGAACCTATCCAACGCCGTACAAATCTTGTGTCTTTTAAGGAAGGTCTATCTACAGATGGTATTTGTCGTTGCGCACTGTTCACTTAACATGAGTATATCCTTAGATTGTCTTCTGCCATTAGTCACTGTTCTCACAACCGCTAGCCATTCGATCAACAAATTACATGTACATGTGCCTCATACGTCACTCAAGCAGACAACAGGCCGATAGGTTGCCAATTAGTGATAACCTTACATTTGTGTCCTGTGCGTATCCCGTGGGTGTTTTTCAATGAATCCATCCTTTGTCTAGTAAGATTGTGTGTCCCTGCTTTCTTTATATATATATATTCCAAATTTGCCATGTACTTTTATTGGAAATGACCACCTTATAAATACTTTTGGGGGAATACATGTACATCTTTAACTTAGTCATAATTTAAGAACATCCAAAATTAAATGGTGTTTTTATCCACTCACCAAATCGATTTGAATTTAGCGGAGATGTCATGTGACAGTTTAGTTGATTTCATAGTACTTTGGCGAGTTCGTTAAATGCACCGATAAGCTGTAAACAATTCTTGTGGCTGGACATTGTCGTAGAGATTATATTGGTAAAAGTATTTTAATATTGCGGGCATTCATTTTCTTAATATGCAGTGTACGGTACTTATAATGGATGTGTGGATATGACTTCATGGTTGCCCATGGGCCTCTTAACAAGCATTTATTTCTCAGTTTCTCTAGTGTTAGATGCATGTTTGAATACTCATAATGGATGTGTTGTTATGACCCATGGGCATCTTAATGAAATGCCTTTAATTTCTGAGTTTCCCTAGTGTTTGAATACTCATAATGGGTGTGTGGTGATGACCCATGGGCATCGTAATGAAAGGGAGCAGGTCGTTTCATCCCACTACCTGTTCATCCCGGGCTGTTTCATCCCAAATTTACACGGGTCCTTTCATCCCACTTATATCGGGTCCTTTCATCCCACAAATTTAAAAACCGGTATTACATGAATTTGTAATATTTTATTTATACATTAATACCAATTACAATATGTCAATGCAATTTTATCATGAATAACGTCCAACTCCTTCTTTTGAATACGCCTTAGCTTATTTTCCGAATATTTTATTTATACAATGTCAATGCAATTTTAACATGAATAGTGTCCAACTTCTTCCTTTGCACAGGCTTTAGTTTATGTTCGGAATCCACACCAATTCTCGACATCAATTTCACTAAAATTACATCGCTTAGAATCGAGCGATGCTCATAGCAAAACATTCAACTTGTAATGCACTGTATAGTCATTTTCATGCATAACAGGATTGCCAGTGATAGAACAGTCATCAAAGAATAAAATTGCACGTGGTCACTATTTCGACACATGTTATCTTTAGATGTGTTACGATTCGCATTTTGGTATTCTAAATGAATTCTTATTCAGAATTCTTATATTTGGAGTTGTTGAGTTTCATTTCGTGAACGGAAATTAAATCAACGATCAGTTTTAAAATTAATTATGGTTTCGAATTAATATCAATCTAATTTGGCAATCAACATAAATTGACGAGTAAAAACTTATTTATTCCATACATTATTGTTTATTTAACAATAAGTAAGTGTTTAACAGTTTATTTAACGATAAGTACAACTCAGTTAATTGACTGCTATTATTATAATAACAAGCGGGATGAAACAGCCTGGGGTGAAACAGCCCGATGAAAAATTAGGTTGGGATGAAACAGCCCGGGGTGAAACGGTTGTGGGATGAACTGACCCTCATCCGTAATGAAATGCCTTTTATATCCCAGTTTCCCTAGTGTTAGATACATGTTTGTATACTCTGCATGGCATATATGTTATTTTTATATACAGCAAATACATCTATCTACATTCTTATTATAACTCTAAAGACAGTTCATATTAAAGTTTACACTATATTGATGTAATTCTAGCAAGAATTTGCCTTCCATTCATACACATGGTTCTAGAAACATTTGCTTAGTTCATAATGATCCTGTTTTCATCTGCTTTTGTTCTGATAAAGAATGTATAAGAATGATATAAAATTCATATCTATCTTAATGATATATAGTTTTACCTGATAACAATGTTACTTGATCTACATTCCATCTGATTACTTATATTGGCATATATACAATATACAACACTGGTCTTACATTTATTTATTATTCACAAATGTTTACACAATCTTACCTTGGAATTCCACTGCTCTTGAGAATCGCAGAGATTGTTTTTTTCTTTGAAAATCAGCCACATTGTTTAGCCAGGTAGTTTGTATTTTAGGAAAGTAATGTTAAGTGGATGTATGATTTTTCTCGTGTGTACGTAAAGTGAGATTTTGTGTACAATGCCAGGTGTTCACTATATGCTAGTACAGCCCTTGATTGATATTGATTTCAGTTCAGTAACCTTCGGGTCAATGAACTCTCTGAAGATTCCAGGTTTTTGAAATTAAATGGGGTTTTATGTCTTACTTTTTCTGCACGAATATCTTACTTTTCTGCACCAACCACCTGGTTTCTTCAAAACATATATTTATAATATTGAAACACGTCAGTATTAGATACTACCTTATATAGTTTATGGTATTTGTGAATTCAGATAAGATATTACCAAGATGTTCCTAATGAATGAGTATAAGATAATGGGGCAAAAATATTCTGCTGAGGACCATGTCTGTGCTCATAAATTTCTTAAATTTGTGCTTTAATCTTATTAAGTTTAATGCCTAAATGCACTTAGTTAATACGCCACAATGTGTGGTTTCTTAATTATGCATAATGCTTAAGATTAAGACAAGACATTAGCACAAATTTAATTACTTAAAGAGGCACCGTAGCAGCTATAATTATGAGTCGATAGGTAAATTATTTAGATGATATATGATTTGATTAATGAAATTAGATCAAGAGTATAGAATGTAATCCACCAATCCATTACCTTCCAATATATAGATGCTTTAATTTATTTATACAACCCACACAAAACATGCTACTTATACAATATACCCTATTTATTTATAAATCTTGTTAGATGTTACAGTTGGGGAAAGTACCATGCATATAGCAGAGTATTCAAAGTTTGAAGTTTTCTAAGTATACATAAATGTAGGTCTCTACTTTGCTTTATTAATTTCTACTTTAATATGTTTTCTCATAAATGTTCAATTTTATTTACCTCTAGGAGGTTTTTCTAAGTAAAATGTTCACTTTTATTTACCTCTAGGAAGTTTTTCTAAGTACACATATAGTTCACTACTTTTTATCCGATTTTAATGAAACTTGAAATATAGGTCTGTCTCCCAAAGATCTTGGTTCCATGATATATTGGCATATATTGGACTATAACTTTATGGATTATGGCCCCTGATTGTACAAAAAATCATGTTTAAGCTTGTGGACCCTCTAGAGGTCACAATTTTCATCCGATGTTGATGCAACTTGAAATGCATGTTTATAATCCAAAGATCTTGGTTCTTTTCGATATTCGTGCATATCGGACTGTAAAGATTATAGCTTGTGGTCCTTAGAAGTCACAATTTTTATCCGATTTTAATTAAACTTGAAATGTATGTTTATAACCCATGTTTTGTTTTTAGCTTGTTCTCTATCCATCTCTTGCAAAATGTGGGCATATCTTGCCTAGCAACTACTGGTTTTATGATTATTTGATTTGATCAAAGAAATATGGAACAATGAAGTTTTTCTCATAAAAAGGAATACTTTTTTTGTACTACCACATTTTTATATGGTTGTATATTGATTGTTGTCACCCATTATTGAAATAAAATTGAACAATATGTTCCGAAATGACCTAGTTTGTATCAAGTGCACGTTAAAGTTAAACCCAGTTTCTCTCTCTTTTTCTGAGTCTTCTGGTTTCTTCCCACTGCTATAGATTGTACCATATCTTAGTGACCTAGTTTTTGTTGAATCGATGTTAAACCCATTTGGAAATTTGTAATGTCAGTCTATCTATATAAGAGGATGAATCCTCTTGATTCCTACCATGTGTTTTCTTACAGATTAATCCATGATATATATCGTGATAGTGCAACCTATTTCTTACTCTTGTTTGAGATACTCAAGGTGTTGATGTGTTATTCAATCAGTTACAAAAACAACTTGTGCAAGATCGCTCAAAACTAAATTAGTCGGGAGAGAAAAGGCATTGTGCATAATATTATTTCAAATACAAGATGGTCATTGACCCTTTAACACTATCAGCTTGGTGCTATTCTTTCCATACAATTATTTGGTGTAGTTGAAGCAGATACAATTTGGGCTATGTTGATCAAGACTATATTTCTTAAAAGATGAAATGAATGGTGAATAGGCATTGCTGTCCTTAGAAAATTTGAATAATTGTATAATAAAAAATGAAATAGTAGTGATAACTAATGGGCTACTGGCTTCATGAGTAGAGCACATATGAGTGTTTGTTTTTTTTTTGGGGGGGGGGGGGTGATGAGTAGACCAGTCCTCGTGTAGGAGGGGAAAGCCATTGTCAGGGAAAGCAGAAATCAAATATAACTTGCATGTAGTATTTACATTTGAATTGATTGACATTCAAGTCAAGTAATTCTCTAAACAGGTCTGTAGGAAGTACAGTCAGGGTTATTTATACTTCGAGCTATGAGTATGATGAACTATCTGCACTGATGGTTTGTTTGGTCTTGGCTATAGTTTCAACCAGCATGACTTCAAAGCCTTCTACCTATATTAATATCAAAATGACACACTAATCTGTTCACAAATTTTCCCCATTTGATATTGATAAAAATTAGAATATGGTCTTACATCAATACATTCAGGATGGAGGACCCAACAAGGAAAGCTGTCTAGTCCTTCATATGTTATAAAAAAAACTGAGGTCCACCCTAGTACTTGTAAAAGAACTCTTGACAGTTGGAATTTGATTAAGAGTGGACGAAAATGCTGTTCTTCAGGCAAAATTTGACTCATTGCACACTGCAAGACAAATGCCTTTCTGCATTATCTCAGTTAATGAAGAAAGTAAAACGTCAAATGTTAAACCCTTTATCATTTCATATACATACATTCTCAGAGTCAGACTGGCCCAAAAAATGTTAAAAAAACAACAAAAAAAACTGATTTTAATCAAACTGGGTATGTGGTCCAGTGTCAATGAGATTCCAGAAGTGTACAAAGTTGAACTAATTAATGTAATTTGCTATATCACTTTATACCCATGAGAGCTCGGAAAATTTATAATTTGAACAAGATTTGTCAATTTTTTGCTGATTTGTTGTCCTTAACTTAATCTAAATAATAAATATTAGTTTGGGAACCATTTTATTTGATTTACACTAAGTTATTGTGCTGCAATTTCCTAAACCCTTTCAGTTGGCATACATGCCATAGTAGCCGCTCCTTGAGTTATAACTGATCAGGTAAATGGAGTTCTGGAAATGAGAGTTTGCCTTTGCCTCCTGGACAATTTTTAAACAAATGACCAATTATTTGCAACCCTCCGCCCACATAGGTAATTATGTTGAATCATAAATCTCTAGTAGTTCAAAAAATGAAGATTATGTAAAGCATTTAATATTGTCATTGTGATTAAAGCTAGTTGATCTACTAAAGAGAGAGAGAGAGAGAAATGGGGTTTAACGTCCACTCGACACAAACTAGGTCATTTCGGGACTAACATATGGTTTTAATTTTATTTACATAATTCGCTTGCGCGTAGGGGTCTTTAGCGGTGGGAGGAAACCGGAGGACCCGGAGAAAACCCACGAGGTTGGACAGGCGACCCTACTCCTTGCCACGTACAACCGGGGATTCGAAACCACGCCAGTCGTCTCAATGACAGACTTTATGATACAGCGCGCGCACGCTAACCATTCAGCCATCCAACCCCCCTGATCTACTAAAGGGTTCTATTATAGTAGTATATAATGTAAAAGTAGAGAGTATGTTGTACTGTTTGAAGCAGGTGGGTTGTAATGGGTATAGTTTGTTACCAGTATTAAAGGGGTATTTGATTTGACATGTTTACTTACTGTTGTATATATTTTACCTGATAGACTACATACTGTCTACTACTTTTTACATGTGTCGTGTCATCTATATTAAACCATACACCAGCTGTCTATTAAACATTACTGTAAATAGTGCATTAGATTAATAGCTTTGTACTGCCAGTCGTCTCATAAACACACAGACTACCTTTTACTTGTTCTAGTACATCTAGTAAACTAATACAAATAACATCACTTTTTGACGTTATGTCAATCAATTTGAATTTAAAAAAAAAAAACTCCATAAATAAATATCACGTAATAACAGACTGTTGCAGGATGGTTCTTGTCATGTGGAATGACAATAAAGATTTTAAATCTCAGTGACTTCTATACAATGTATATACTAGGTTGTTCATATAAATATGCAATATTAGCACATTTGTTGCCTAGTCATTCAGATGCGACCGAAAACTGAGGTCCACCCTGGAAGACTCCAGAGGCTCCAGGGTGCACATAAAGGTTTACAATTCGATGAAGATTAGGCAGAAATCAACTGTCCAGGAAAAAATCTCCTCCCTAGCATCGTACACATATGATTGAAGTCTTGTTTTGACTAGACTTTAGACTTGCTATCTTTTATATTAAAATGTAAAATAACACAATATCATAAGATTGGGTTACAAAAAATGATCAGCTATGCAAAATAACACAATATCATAAGATTGGGTTACAAACAATGACATATAAGCTATGCAAAATAACACAATATCATTTATGCAAAATACACCAATACTAAAATGAAAAAAAAAAAAAAAATGTTGTAAAACTTGTCTTAAAAATGGACTAGTACGCTGAATAAGAATAAATATGCTATAAGATTTTTGTAGTTGATCTGTTAAAGTGTATTTGTTTATTTACAGGCAGCTACAAGAGAGGTAGAGAAAGATTTTCAAAGTGTTTATTCCAGATTGGTATTATGTAAAACTTACAGGTAAGCACACAAATTGAATAATTTGAAACAGTTTTTGTGCTTGATATATAGCCAATACACACTAGTCGCTTTAAAAGATTACACTGTACCTTTATATTAATTCTTTTGATTCATATTTAGATATTTTATTTGTTTTTGTATAATAGAGGCTTATGCTGATTTTTTTTCTAGGTTAGATGAAGACGGTAAAGTTTTAACACCAGAAGAAGTTATGTACAGGGTGAGATGTAAATTTATTTAATGCCAAAATTTGTTGTGACCGGTTGATTTCCAATCTTTCATACATACAATATAATTACTCGGAAAATGTTCTTTACATTTGTTTCAACTAACCTTTGTAAAGAATATATAATATTTGATTTATGTAGTTGTCAGTGTCATGTTTGGGTCTATATAATAAATAAGTGAATTAATTGATGGTATAAATAGACGAGGAATTTTAGAAGAATTATAATTTTGATTTTTATCTTACTTTCAGGCTGTTCAAGCGGTGAACATATCTCATGATGCTGTGCATGCTCAGATGGATGTTAAATTTCGATCACTTATTTGTGGTGGCCTCAAGTAAGACATAAAGCTTTTTGAAAATTGAAACTGAACGTACCTTTATGATGCAATCAGTTGTTTGTGTTTCTGTACCCACATGATGACAGATGGCACTCTCTATAGATTTATGTAACCACATATTGGAAAGAACATTGGCGTTATTTATTGGTTGATCATTCCAAGCAATTGATTTTGAAAAAAAAAAATACTGATATCATCCTATGGGTTGACATCTAGTAGTAAAATGTATGTCTTTTGCCTGACACAAATATCTATTTACCAGCATCAGATGATGATCAGATATGAATCAGACAAATATAAATAACAATTTGGGGCTTTTCTGGGGATGCAGATTAAAAGCTTACTTACACTATGATGTCTGCTACCATTTTGATACGTCTGTCCACAATTTGTTTGTGGACACTCTATAGGTCACAACTCTTATCTGATTTTGACGAAAGATCTTGGTTCTTTTCGATATTGGCATATATCGGCATATATCGGACCAAAACTTCATGGATTATGGCCACTCCTTGTACACAAATTGTATAAAAGAAAATGTAACACCAAGATTGTGGACCCTCTAGAAGTCACAATTTTTATCTGATTTTAATTAAACTTGAAATGTATGTTTATAACCGAAAGACCTTGATTCCTTTTGATATTTGCGCATATCAGACTGTAACTTCCTGGATTATGGCCCCTGATTGAACGAAAAATCATGTTTTTTAGATTGTGAATTCTCTAGAGGTCACAATTTTTATCTGATTTTAAAAACTGTTTAAATATATCACCATTCCACCATAATAAAGGCTGAATTCGGATTTCGGGAAAATCAAAACGAAACTGCATGACAAAATGACTGCTCTTTGTACACAAGTTGTGTAAAAGTATGTAATACGAAGGTCACAATTTTTATCCGATTTTGATGAAACTTAAATTATATCTTTATAGCACAAAGATCTCAGTCCCTTTCGATATTTGTGCATTTCAGACCATAACTTTCTGGATTATGGCCCCTGATTGTACGAAAAATCGCTTTTGTTTTTAGCTTTTTCTCTATCCATCTCTTGCAAAATGTGGGTGTATTATGAAATTTATCACACAAGCGATATCTAGTACTGTAGAATGTATTATTGGGTGATAAATATGTTTAAATCCCAAAGATCTTGGTACATTTTCATATTGTCGCATATTGGACCGTAACATCCTGGATTATGGTCCCAGTTTGTAGCATTTCTGCTCCTCTCTTACGAAATGTGGGCGTGTTGAATATGCTTGATTAATGGAAATATGCTATGATAATTGGAAATATTTAACAGGTACCTGTTTGGGTATACCTGTACATACACACACAAAAAAATCATTTTCATGGATTATTTCAGTGAACAAGTTCTACATCTATGGTTGGAAACATTATGTTCTTGTGTCGAAATTGTTGAGAAATGGTATCATCCATGGTCTTTCATTAGAAGTCCGGGTTGGGTGCAGATTAAATGTGAACTCAGGTATGTTTAATTATAAATTATATTTTTTAACAGCAGTCCAAGGATACCCAGAGGTAAGGCATCCACCTTTCAAATTTTATATATATTTCATGTTGTTCAATGTTGCTATATGATGTTAATTGAAGATGCAATATGTAAGAGCTAAATATGCCAATTGCAGATTTTTTGTCCCCCAAGATTCGAAGAAAGCAGAGGACTATTAAATGGATCTGTCCGTCCATCACATTTTTTGGGGACACAATAACTTCTAATTGAGCTAGAATGTTCAGATTTGGTGTAGGTGTTTATTAGGTGAATGAATGCCTTGACGGAATTCGTAGATGAACATTTTCTAGTTAGGCTAAGCAGAGATAAGCAATTTGATTGGTTTATGCTTTGGGGCACAGTAACTTTGGTTCTAATTAAGTGAAAGTGATGAAACTTGGTGTATAGTTTCATTATATTTTACCTTGACTAAGGTCGATGATGTGCATTTTCTGCTCAGGGTAAGCAGAGCGATAAGCAATTTGATTAGTTGATACTTTGGAGCTTGATAACTTTGATTCTAATTGAGTGAGAGTGGTGAAACTTTGTGTATAGTTTCATTACATCAATACCTTGACTAAGTTCGACGATGAGCATTTTCTGCTTAGGCCAAGTAGAGACTTCAATCTGATTGGTTGAGACTTTGGAACACGATAACTTTTGTTCTAATTGAGGTAGAATGTTCAAACTTGATGTAGGTGTTTATTAGATGACTGCCTTGATAAAGGTCATTTGTGTGCATTTTCCACTAAGGCTAAGCAAGGCTAAGCAATTTGATTGTTGAGACTTTGGAACACGATAACTTTGGTTCTAATTAGGTGAGGGTGATGAAACTCTTGAGTATAGATTCATTATGTCAATACCTTGACTACGTTCGATGATAAAAGATTTTTCTGTTTAGGCTAAGTAGCAATAAGCAAATTGATTGGTCAGTACTTTTGAACATAACAACTCTGCTTTTAAACTTGGTGTAGGTAATTGTCTTGACTGAGTTCAGTGATTAACATTTTCCAATAAAGCTAAGCAGAGCTAAACAATTCCATTGGTCAATGCTTTGGGACAAGATAACCTTGATTCTAACTGATGGAGAGTGATGCAACTTAGTGTATAAGCTTAGTTTTACTACCAGGTACTTCAAAACCTTGACAGAGTTTCATCGTGAACATTTTCTAGTTGGACTAAGTATAGATAATCAGTTTGATTGCTCGATACTTTTCAAAAAGATAAATGTGTAATTAATATGTATCATCTATTTATTTTGGGATTCCAGCATGAGACATCAGCCTCACTGTTGGCTCGTTTTTGTTCTAGCTTCAAAGTTCAAATGTATATATATTATTAATTAGGCATTTGCACATAATCAACTCTCTAGAACATCGGATGACCAAGATGTTGAATGGATTTGACTGTAATTTTATATATACATGTATTCATTTTTCGTTATCTTTTTGGGCAAGTATAATGAAGGCCAGCTCTTTATCCAAATCTTACATAATGCATCTTGAATATATTATGTGTTATTAGATTATATTGACACTATTTTTTTGCTCTTAATTTTGGTGGTTATTCTACCTTTGTTTCTTTTCATTCCTTTTTCCGTGGGTTGGGACTTCTTATTTCTCTCTAATTATAAGATTTAATATATTTGCTTGCTTTATAATTTTAACAAAAGATAAGAACACATGACAAACCAAACTTAAAAATGTATTTTTAATACACATAGATTGTAGGTGTAACCGTTTCAATGAGAATTTAAAGTGACAATAAATTCATGTCAATGGCAATAAATTCATGTTAGTCAAAATAGATTGCCAATGTATAATGATACTAAATGTTAAATATGCATATTAGTTTAAAAATTCAAACGGTTTACGTTCTGAAATAATTTGCAGAAATTAATAAGCCTTTATCATATTAAAGCGGGGTTGGGTGGCCAAATGGTTCAACAAGTCTGTCATTGAGTCAAGTGACATAGTTTTGATTCTCTGATTGTACTTAAGGTCACATGTCCAACCTCATGGGATTTCTTTTGGTCCCCCAATTGCCTCCCACAGCTAAATTATTGCAAGCAAATTATTGGAGTAAAATTTAATAGGTGTTGACCCCATTTCCTTCCGTCTTTATCGTAATAAATGTTACATATGCATATTAATTTAATTAAATATGCGTATTAATGGTTTAAGCTTGGTTTCTTAAATATCATCCCTTATTTATCTATCGATGACATCTTTAAATATCAACAAACACTATTTTGGTAGCCGTCTAATTTAAGAAGTACGGTTTTCAAATGCTCATTTGAGAACATTTGGAAGGCTTTAGGATACGGTACACTGTAATTTGTAAAGAGCCATATTATGTTTTTACACAATGCAAAAATTGGACATGATTTGAGCTATAGAAATTGACAACGATATTGCTACTTTAAGCAAAGATTGCTTTCTCATGATTGCTGCTTGTTTTTAATACAAATTTTTTATTTATTTATTTTTGCAGGATTTTATCACACTTTGCCTTCTTTTTATCACAAAATTGGGAGTTACCTATAAAGACTAACAACCGAATAATAGAAGATGCTAAAAACCTTCTTGTTACTCATCATTTATTTAGTTGGGAATATTAAACAGATTAGTTAGACCATGTTATTTCTAATAACATGCTAAATTATCAACTGATATCTACTTAAACACCTGCAGACATATCTATATTATGTTACATATCATTGACATTAACCCTTTTAACATCTCAAACAATCAAATATTTACTGTATAATATATTAGACAATGCAACTGAACGTATCCACAAATGACATAATATAACACTTAAGTTCAAAATCCTGTATTTTATTTTTTATTATTGTCACCTTCTGGATGCTCAAGCATGAACATTATATCTTTTTTTAATATTGATTATGTTTTATACTTTACTTTATAATTTGGTTTTTCTGGATCTTTTGATTTTTTTGTATGTTTTTTGATATTTATTCTATTTCTACCACTTTCATTGTTTATTTATGAAAACATTACATTTCTCGTTTGTTAGGGTTTTTTTTCCTAGTCCATTATTTTTAATTTATGTTGCATCCAATCTGATATATATTGGCAGGTTTTTTAACTATCAATATTTTCCACTTAAAGCAGCAATCTTTTGAAATTGTCTTCCTTAACATAAATTGTTGTATGTTTGGTTTTGTTTGTTTGACATCTTAATATTTGTATGTGACTTGTGTTTTAATTTTCAAATGTACTTTTTATTGTATGTAGAAATTCTGTATATTGATGTTAGTAGTTTGTATACTGTTTTCTATCGTTATTCTGTTGTACACCATGTCCTATCTCATCTCTTTCAGAATACTAGCTCAGTTTGCATTTACGTTATCGACCAATTGGGAATTACCAAAGAAGCGTAGTTCACCTGATAGTTTAAGAGAAGGTGTTCGAGACATGCTAATAAAACATCATCTCTTCAGTTGGGATTTATAAATTATAGTTAATAGATTTAATTATCTCACAGACTAATATTAATTAATGACTTATATTATAAGTTTAGAATTCTTGTAGTTATAACTATGCAAAAAGTGAAACATAACTAATGATCAATGATCTCATTGTTGTGCCAGATGTAAAATATTTAAGTTTTATGTAACAAAGCACTTGAGAAACAATTTTGCTTATATATAAGATAATATTAATCTCTCAACATTTTGTTAAATACAGATGCACATACCATCCTAGAAGTCTATCTAAAGTACATTGTACTACTAATGAACTCAAAAACAAGAAATGTGATTCCCAATTTGAATATTTAATATTAAAATAAAAAATTAGGTTTCCTAACATTTTAACCATCCATCTCAGTTCTATTACATACATGTATTGCATTTTATGTAAACTTGTGTTAAGATGAATATAGATTATAAAAGATGTCTAGAGATATCGGAAATGTTTCTAACAAGAAATAAATATCAAGTTGTTGTTTATGTAAAGGTTTAAAACCATGCATGTAATGTTGTTAATCGTTTTGTGCTAATTCTTAAATTAGTAGATGAATGTTTAAAGGAGAAGTGCAGCCTTTTTTCAAATTTTATTCATCACCTAGTGCTGAAATAGTTCGAACCAAAGCATGAATCATTTCATCTTTAATTCACAAAAATAAAATTGCTGTCAAGCAAGACATTATTGTCCTAACTTTCATCTTCACTGTAAACAAATAAAGCAGTGTATTCACTCAAAGCTACATGTTTATAGGGTACAATAAGTAACTATTATTAGTGAGCAAAAATTCGCCCGTGTATCTGTTATCACTCGTCACTTCAGTCAACTATATAGAAGGATAACTCGTGTTCTCCTTTTGCGTTCGTCACTTCCCTTTCTTGAAAGCTTCATAACGCACCTATCAGCATCTTTCGTAGCATTGATCTCTATGTTAAAATTATATTTGGAACGTGTTTAACCAGTTTTATCACATGTGGAAATTGACACCAATATTATCCATTAACAGTGGCTGACAGTTACCCTGATGACATCATATATATGTTGAACATTGAGTTATGCATTATGGAAACTATTTTATAATTTTATCATTAAAAGAATATAAATGGTTGAGCTTCTCCTTTACCTAGTTGATGTGCTTTATATAGTATGATTGTATTAGTATGCACTGTATTAGTAAAGCAAATTTACTCATGTTTATGATGTATAGTACATGTATTATCATAAGTATTATTGATATTCATAAAATCACACAATTTATTAGGATATGCCATTAGTCAAAGACATTGGTCATATCACTGATAACTATAATACAGCTAACAAGTCTACTAGTATGATATTTTACTTCCCTGAATATAAAAGTTTTGATATGTCATTTTGAGCAATAGGAATCTTGTGCAAACTAATGCCAGTATTGGATTATTGGTCCAAAAATGGTTTAATTTCAATCAGTATTTTACAAAGTTATGTTGGAAATCAAATTTCATTGATCTACACCGTTCGATATGTGATAAGCCTGTCAACAATTTGTTGTGTGAGAATAGAAATTTTAGGCCTTTCTTTAAATCCGATTGAATCCAAGAATTTGCCTGGTCATTGTTTCCCATGTAAATTTTCTGCCATGTTTGAGCAATGGTTCGTTGACCGGACCACAGTATTCATGTAATAGTTTGAAATGAAGCTTATAATTGTTAAATGTAAATTATGTGTATATGACCTGACTATTTCAGATTGATGTCACAGTTTTCCTTTAATTTATCAAGAGACTGGGAACTTCCAAAACAGTCGGACACATTCCGACCTTTCAGGGATGGGGTGAAGGATATGTTAGTAAAACATCATCTGTTTAGTTGGGACCTTTAATATAAATGTGTCTATTACTCATATTAAGAGAGTATTATTATGGTATTAATTACTATATATATATTTTTTTTAATCATGGCATTGTTGTGCAGTTATCAGGGTTGCTTTTGATACTATGGCATGTACTTTATCATAAATACAATAAGTTCAACATTTAAATCCATGGTAAAAAAGGAGCTTCTTTTTTTAATCTGTCCAACTTAAAAGCTGCCCTGATTAATATACCGGTAACAGATATTCGGCATACATTACATTAAAACTATATATATAACCAATTTTTTTTAATATGGTAATATTCTGCTTCCATGGTAAACAATATTTTGGTCTGATGTATCGTCTGTGTACATGTTTATTGTATGTTCACATAGTTCATCATTTATAATAGTTCTAACAAACTATCAGACTGATTTATTTGCCTTTGGAACACTTGCCATTTCATCTTGAGAAACTTATGAGTTTCCGATTATCTATGTGTGTGTGTGTTTAAATCAATATTGATGCACAGTATGACATTGAAGCCTGATACATTTCTATTATTTTACTGAAAAGATATTGGATTACAATCTTATTCTTACAGCCTATTTAAGGTCATGAAATCTCTATAAAGTAATGGCTTGGTGTGAAAATAATTTTTAGTAATTGAAAATGGTAAAGTGAAATTTGATGGATTAGGAGTAACAGATGTTTTATTTAAAGTAATTTTGATTGAATATGGCAGATTAAGCTCTAAATTACTATTTGAGTAAGGGGGTTGGGTGGCCAAATGGTATAAGCGATTCACTTTAGATCATAAGGTCTGTCATTTAGTCAAGTGGTGTGGTTCTGATTCCACACTTGTGTGTGACAAGGACTACAGATATATATTTATTTGATTAGCTATTATACTGTTTCCCTTTCACTTGGTAAGTTGAATATATTCGAGTATAATTTATACCATTATTTTGTGTATATATATATATTGTACCTAGTTAAATTTATTTTGTTATGTTATCAATTGATTATAATTATGTAATTTATGATTGAATTATTCATTCATCATAGCATGTTGAATATATGTTATTGTTAAAAAATGTTCATAGTCCAACAACAAGATACAAGGTTGTGTTTTTTTAAGAACTATTGTCAGATTGTTATTGGGTGTATTTTAAAGTATTATCTACCTAGAATTGGATGACATGATTATCTGATATAGGATTAGAGTGAATTTCTTTGGTTTGCTGATGAGTTAAATCAAGATCGGATCTAGTCTTCAATTTTAATAGATTTATACTTAATGAATGCTTTCTTTAAGGGCTAACAATGTTTATTGCAAATCACTGTTGTTACCTTAAGTTGACAAATCAGGATTTGAATAATTTACAAAAACAACACACTCTTTCCGTACTTGGTAAATTTATAAAAAAAAAGAGCAGTTTCTAGCTTTGTAAGCCTCAGTCAAACAATTAAAGATAATGCGACATTAGCATATTTACTCTAAAATATTATAATCCAGTCAAAAGTTATAATCTATAACAATACTAGACCAGAAAGGCCTGTTATGAACAACGATTCTACGTATATAAAAAAATTTTTTTTTATAACTTAGGTAATGATTAGTACAGCCAGCATGTTAACTGAAGTGCTTTGTCAATCCACATCAGCTTGTGTATACCGTGATAAGATGTGTAGTCCCTTTGACACAAGCCAATCAACAGAATTAAGGCTGTAATTAAAATAAGTGTTTTAGCAGGTCTAACACATAAACGGTTAATATATGGTCATCATAATTATATCAAATAATTTTAATCAGATTGGTATGCAATTGACTAAAGTGTTTATAATAAACACTGGCTTCAAGTACATAAAACTTTCACATGGTCATTTGATGTGCCCTGTGAATAAGATAATGTTTAATGCTGTTTTTGTATTTTATTTCTGTACTGTAATACAGAAACACTGTAATGTAAAAAATATTTTCTCTGATGGTTAGCAAATTCACAAATCACAAATGAAAATGGTACTTAGCAATCTGACAACAGTCATAGAAGAAAACTCCTCTTGGACTGTTACTTCTGCCATTATATTATATTAACTTTATCATTCTTGATCTGTTTTATTTTATTTATTTAACAATAATATACTCTAACTATGTGCAATAACAGATTTACTTTTGTTATAATTATCTTGTTAACTAATTTTACTTTATTTATTAACGTTATTAACTACACATATACCAGCTAAATATCTCTCATTTTTCTTTATTTCTCAAAATAATATTATTTATCCTTGTATAGAATCTGTAAATGTTTAATATGAAATCACTGTGATATAGATATGTGTTGTTAATGGGTTGTATTGATAATTGAATTACTGTAAAACAAGACATTTATGCAAGTAGTTTTAAGTCAAGATCTCAGTAATTTTGTTATGTTGTAGAATAGAAAATTGAAAATATTACAACCTGTGATGTATTGGAGTTTTTCATCTTTGTCATTTTAAGGCTAAAATAGGAATTAAATTTTGCCGGGACTGTAAGCATTTCTGCTACTCTTTACCGAAATTCCAACTGTCACAGGTTCTTTCATGTTCACACCAACGTGTACATGTGTGGAATTTGGTTTTTGTCTTATCCGTGTGACAAGGTAACACTTTACTTGCCAGCCCCACAGACGCTACCTTGGACAAGTGGAAATGTGGCTTGAATTCTTGTTTTACAGTATAGTAATGCTTATTGTTTAATATTATATAATCCAGAAAATAAATAGGCCACTGTCAAAAAAAACAACAACCCAAAACAAAGAAGAAAATTGGTAAAATATTATATTCAAAAGGAACCAAGCGATACTTGTTTCCAGATCGTTTTAAGTCGGTCACTGTTTTAGGTTACATTATTTTATTTTTCATTCATTAAGTTTAATAAGATTACCAGCAAATGGACTCAGTGCCTGGAAAGAGATTTGGTGATGCCAGGAGCCAACTCCTTGAGTGTATGCCACCAAGACTAAGTACAGGGCCTTGTACTCTGAAATTTGAGAAAGGAAGGCATTTTAAATATGCTATCACAGATGAAATAAAAATTTTATTCAAATTAAGTAGGGCAAAGTTAACCGTGATAATTTGAAAGAAAATTCATATAATTTCACTCTTTGATTGGATACGCAGAGCTGTTGCCCCCTCTCTGCACGCTAGTATATGGAATATTATTTTGACAGTGACTTATTCACATTTTCACCCTTACAATGAATCCCTTATGCCCAAATAGTATAAGTATAATTACCCCAGTGGTTGTATATATAATATTGGTTGTTAATGTATATAGTTGTTGTTTGTATATAGTATAAATATATAAGTTATATATCCATCTGTGATTGGACTAGTCACCAGTTTGTGATGCATTTAAATGTCTGTCTCAATCGCTGATTGTATATATTATTATAAATGTATGATAAATCTGGGTAATTGTGTTATCCATTAAAAAATAAAAATAACATAATATTTAAAATTAAGTTACATTATAAATTTTCTCTGGATTCTCTTGTTATATGCCCACATTCCGATCTTCGGGCAGTCTATTAGTACACTAGAGGCTACAGTGTGGTTTCCCCCTCTGTGGTGCAGGACAGGTCTTGGCAAGAAACAGTGTCTAGTGACTAGTCATTCAGATGGTTAAAAAAAACGAGGTCCTGTGTACACATTGGCATGCACATAACAGAACCCTTGACAGTGTTGCAAACAAGAACCATGGACTATATAATACATGCATTCCATTCACTCAGACCATAAGACCTCTATATTTTATGATTTTCTTTGGGTTTTGGTATTGCATGGATATGTTCACCAGAGGAGTGGCGATCCTCATTGTCTATTTTCCACCTCAAATAATTGTAACAAATTTTCATAACCTTGGGAGAGGGGGAACACAGGGATTTTGTTAAAAATGTCTGTGAAATCAGTGTGGCATTGATATAGAAATCCCAGGATGTAAATTCCAGTCTAATCTCATAATTTTTTCTTTGTGATCTCTGGTTTTCCTGCTATACCCTCCCACTACTAAACACCTCAGAGAGCAAGCAAATAATTAAATAAATATTTACCATATGTTAATGACAAAATGTGTGTTAAGTAGACATTACATTTCATTTGCCCTGTCTCTAAATCAGTGTCAAAACTAATCCCAAAAGAAATGGGTCCTGGAGAGGTTTGCATACCGAGCGAGTGATCCTGTTTGGGGGACTGCAAACTTTGATGTTGATGGAGCCTTGACAAGTGTTAAAACAGGACAGCCCCTTCTTCCTACAATACGTGCCCTGTCTAATCCTACGCAGAGTTAAAACAAACTCTTGGAGCAAAACCATTTCTAATGATATGGCCACGTTTTTATTCATCACGAGGAATATTTCTAATACCATGTGTTAGCTATAAGAGCAATTTGTCATTAAGCTGGAGGGGGCTAGTGCATGTGTTCTGAGTCGGTTGCAAAAACCAAAGTTATTACATGTAATTTTCAAGGTTATGGTTTTATGGATGGCTGTTAAAACCAGATTGAATCGATCTAGTCACTGTCAGGATAACCTTGGACTTGGAGTTTTTATAAAAGCACGTACGTAGGATGATTCCGAATCATTCATAAGCTAGATAAATTACCACTGCTTTCATCCATGGTTCTGCAGAACGAGTTCCCCATACCCCGCGACCTCCGGCGCTCCGTGCACTAAACGATTGATTTGTTGTTTAGAATTCAGGTCAGCCATCTAAGTTATGCTATGTTGGACCACGTCGAAGTTGCTGTATTCACGGGCTGGAATAGCAGGAAAACGCGTTTGCGGACGTCAAGTTCTCCCAAATAGAGACTTGGCTAGCGGATTTTTCCCATCCGTATCCCGTATCCGTATCGTATGCGTGATACGTTGCGTCAATGTAGTTTTAGAGTTTTGACAGATTTTAGCAATTTTTGGTTTCACTAATGTATCATTTCAGAAAGTTTAGCCCGTAGATCAACCAGTATGCAGACAGGCGGGAAAAATATGAAAATTCCGAGAAAAACCCATCGAAAAGAATGATTAAATTCCAGTCGTTATCACTGTTAAAATCACATCAAATATACATCTTCGTGTTCTAGGATACACATAGATTCATAAAAACGCAATGATGCAACATTTCAGCGTATAAAAGTAGCAAAAAGACGGTAAAAAGACGACAGTGTTATACGGACCATTTCCGTATGAAAGCCGTTCCATACGTGCTGCCGTATCCGTGTGCCGTATCACGTATGAGAAATACACAGACATTGATGACGTCACACCCAAAATCCATACGGATACGCGATACGGACCAGGAAATTACGCTTGCCAAAAGTCTCTACTTTCTTGGGGAGGCCCCTATACGGTATGCTCAGAGACTTCGTCTCTCGCAAGTTTTTGCTAGAAAGCAGACATAACCGGCTTATTTAAAACTCTACCAATCATAATTGTAAACGCAATCTAGGGTGGAGCCCCTATGCGGTAATCTCAGAGACTTCGTCTCTCGCCTGTTTTTGCTAGAAAGCAGACATAACCGGCTTATTTAAAACGAAATGAAATGAAATGGGGTTTAACGTCCTACTGTTCTGCTCCTAACCTGGGCTAATGAAGACGGGCATAAGCCATACAGTGTGCTATGAGGGAAATATTGCCTGGGCAGCGGCGCTACGGCCTACTCTTATATCGAATTCCAACTGCCAAGGGATCTTTTACGTGCACGCCAATGTGTACACGGGACCTCGGTCTTTCGTCCCATCCGAACGACTAGACAGCTGTCCTTGTCAGGCCCGCCATCCTGCATCACTGACAAGGGGAAACCACGTCGGAAAATCTGGATGAAATTTCTCGGCCAATGCAGGGATCGAACACCCGACCTCCACGTGAACCCCCTTATTTAAAACTCTACCAATTCTAATTGTAAACGCAATCTAGGGTGGAGCCACGGCGGCTAAGTTCGTAAGACGCTTGCTCGGTAGCGGAGGTCGCCGGTTCGCCCTCGGTGTTGGCCGAGAAAAATTCATCGGGATTTTCCGGCGTAGTTTAACCTTGTCAGTGGTGCACGACGGAAGGTCTGACAAGGACAGCTGTCTAATCGTTCGATTGGGACGAAAAACCGAGGTCCCGCGTTCACATAGGCGTGCACGTAAAATATCCCTTGGCAGTTGGAATTCGATATAAGAGTAGGCCGTAGCGCCGCTGCCCAGGCAAAATTTCCCTCATAGCACACTGTATGGCGTATGCCCGTCTTTATGAGTCCAGTCGGAGTTGAAAAGTGAGACGTTAAACCCCATTTCATTTCATTGCAATCTGGGGTATGAAAAATATCCTAAATTTAAACAACGCAATCTCGGAAACAACAAAAATAGGCGTCCAATTGTTCTGTCTTTCGCCTATTCAGCGGTGTATCTGCTTTTATACGTTCACATTGCCGGCGGTTAATCGTCCACATCTTCTTGTAAACACTACAGACAAAATCCCATCTTTTTAAAAATTGATATAATAATCATGTTTTGATAACTTAACGCCGTAGCAATATGAACTATTTATTCTTTATTAATTAAAGTTCAAGACAATCTGTCTAATTAATTAATATTAAGTAAGTATAGCTTGATCACTGCGTCTCCACAAATCTCTTATTCAAGATTTGTACATCTTTCGACCTGTTGAATTAGGATCGACCCCTATGTCTTTTGCATTAAAAATGCGATCATTGCGGAGGTATTGGTATACGTCTATGTACAGTACCTAGTGGATATTGTAATTTGATTACGGCAGGTACAAAGTATAGTTCACAATTTTTATGAGCAGATAGATGTGACATACCGAGAGGGGACAGATACCAACTAATACAACCTTACAATGACATTGGCTACTGTAATTATTTACCATGTGCCTGTCAACAACAGGGACAGTAGGCTACGTCCCACACGTGCCATAATAAGACATTTTAATCCCCGAATAGTAATCTTTATAAGAAAAAGGTGGAACTAGTTAGTATCACTTTAACACCACTACATTTTATAAGAGTCTTTATCGCCCATCAATATGTTTTTGTTTTGTTTTTTATTTGAAGGGGCTACACCCCTAACTCAATATCCATAATATTCGAAATTAAAAACACGAATTAGAATTCAAAATTCGCCCATTTCAATCAATACTGATGTTATCTTACCGTGATAATATGGGTCCTAATACAGGGCCGGTGGAGTGGAGGGGCTAGGGGGGGGGGGGGGCTTTAGACACCCCAATAATTTGGCCGCAAGTACTCTTTTCTCCTGGTTATTGCGGCCCCTGGACCCTCGCCTATAAGTACCTAGGATGGAAGCCCCCCCCCCCAATCAAAAATTGCCTCCGCCGGCCCTGTAATATCCAATATTTAACACACAGATAAACATTTTAAAATCAGTACACAACTTTGTGTACTCTTTGGACATAATGATTTCAAGCGTCATTGGCAATGAACAAAGAAAAAAATTACAAATATCCGATTCACAAAATAATAATAATAATAAACCGTGTATAATGGAATAAGCAGCTGCAAACGACTGTCGTTAAAATTCGACTGTTCGTCTAATTCACCGAAAATAATTGATAAGAAATTAAAATAAAAATTATAAAACATGATACACTCATGTTAGACTAATATGTGCTTTAAGGCCCATTTTCGTATATCTTAAAGATGCATTATGGGAGATTCACCTAATTCACCGAAAATAATTGATAAGAAATTAAAATAAAAATTATAAAACATGATACACTCATGTTAGACTAATATGTGCTTTAAGGCCCATTTTCGTATATCTTAAAGATGCATTATGGGAGATTAGATAATATCAGAATCAGCATGAGAAACAAGATCCCGTCCGCCCCTCCCCCCCCCCCAAAAAAAAACTACAATATTTATATGTGTGTGCGAGGGAGGGATGGGGTGACAGTCCCTCCCAGTGCCACCAGGTAATATTGGGCTGTGTGGAACATGCTATAGAGTCGATTTGTAGCATATCTGACCCTGCTGTCAATCCGCCCTTTAAAATGATTTATTGTAAATTCTACTCGGTAATTCTTACAACACTATTTCTTCCGACAACAGGGAGTGCACTATGTAAATTGTGTAGGTTGTCATTAATTCAAGATGGTTTTCAACACCAGTACTAAAGGTGGTATAACCTCGAGATTTACCAGATTTGTTGAAATAAAACTGTTTAACAGCAATTCTTTTATTACTTATGTTATGATTACATTTTGTATCCACCCTGAAAAATGTTTGAAGTGGGAACTATGGTTCTCGTCGTAATGTTTTGGTCACGTTCCATCTAGCCTACTTACCAATACTTTCAATACTACAGAACGTAACAAATTATTTCGGGAAGCTTATCAAGGGCTCCACCCCTTGACAGACACGCCCTTGTTAATTTGGTTAGAGATTATGGTTTATATTAAAATGGCACCTGCTATGAGTGACGTATAATACGTATTATACACC